TTGGTCAGACTCCATCATAAGATGCTACTGACCAAATAGCATGACCCTTGGCCTTTCAGCTCTTCAGAGGAAGCCTTTTGAAGGTTAAGATCTACCTGTATTTGACTTTATGTGACCTTGAAAGTAGGTCAACATCATTTTTATTCGCAAACATTGTTGAGCTTCATCATAGGATGCTACTGGTCAATTATCATGACTCTAGGCCTTTCATAACTGCAGGAGAAGTCTTTTGAAGGTTTAGACCTATTTCACCTTTGTGACCTTGAAAGTATGTTAAGCTCATTTTCATTCGCAAACTTTGTTGGGCTCAATAATAGGATGGTACTGGTGATATATCATGACTGGAGGCCTTTCGGATCTTCAGTATAAGTCATTTAAATGTTTTGACCTATTTTACCCCTGTGACCTTGAAAGTAGGTCAACGTCATTTTCATTCGCAAACTTTGTTGGGCTCAATCATAGGATGGTACTGGTCATATATCATGACTTTAGGCCTTTCGGATCTTCAGTAGAAGTCATTTAAATGTTTTGACCTATTTGACCCCTGTGACCTTAAAAGTAGGTCAACGTCACTTTCATTTGCAAACTTTGTAGAGATCTATCATAGAATGCTACTGGCCAAATATCATGACTTCAGGCCTTTCTGATCTACAGAAGAAGTCGTTTGAAGGTTTATACCTATTTGACCCCTGTGACCTTGAAAGAAGGTCAAGGTCATTTTCATTAGCAAACTTTGTCAGACTCCCTCATACGATGCCACTGGTCATATATCATGACTTTAGGCCTTTCGGATCTTCATAATAGGTCGTTTGAATGTTTTGACCTATATGACCCCTGTGACCTTGAAAGTAGACCAACATTATTTTCATTCGCAAACTTTGTTGGGCTCCATCATAGAATGGTACTGGCCAAATATCATGACCTCAGACCTTTCGGGTTTTCAGAAGAAATCGTTTGAAGGTTTAGACCTATTTGACCTCTGTGACCTTGCAAGTGAGTCAATGTCATTTTCATTTGCATAATTTGTCAAGCTCAATCATAGGATGCTACTGGCCAAATATCATGACTCTAGGGCCTTTCGGATCTTTAGAAAAAGTCGTTTGATGGTTAAGACCTATTTGACCACTATGACCTTGAAAGTAGGTCAACGTCATTTTTATTCCCGAAATTTTTGGGCTCCAACATTGGATGCTACTGGCCATATATCATAACTCAAGGTCTTTCGAATCTTCAGGAGAGGTCATTTGAATGTTTTGATCTATTTGGCCCCTGTGACATTGAAAGTAGGTCAACGTCATTTCCATTCGCAAACTTTGTTGGACTCCATCATAGAATGGTACTGGTGATATATCATGACTTGAGGCCTTTCGGATCTTCAGTAGAAGTCATTTAAATGTTTTGACCTATATGACCCCTGTGACCTTGAAAGTAGACCAATATTATTTTCATTGGCAAACTTTGTTAGGCTCCATCATAGAATGGTACTGGCGATATATCATGACTTGAGGCCTTTCGGAGCTTCAGTAGAAGTCATTTAAATGTTTTGACCTATTTGACCCCTGTGACCTTAAAAGTAGGTCAACGTCACTTTCATTTGCAAACTTTGTAGAGATCTATCATAGAATGCTACTGGCCAAATATCATGACTTCAGGCCTTTCTGATCTACAGAAGAAGTCGTTTGAAGGTTTATACCTATTTGACCCCTGTGACCTTAAAATTAGGTCAACGTCACTTTCATTTGCAAACTTTGTAGAGATCTATCATAGAATGCTACTGGCCAAATATCATGACTCTAGGCCTTGCGGATCGTTAGAAAAAGTCGGTTGATGGTAAAGCCCTATTTGACCACTATGTGCTTGAAAGTAGGTTAACGTCATTTTTATTCCCGAAATTTTTGGGATCCAACATTGGATGCTACTGGCCATATATAGTTATTTGACCCCTGTGACCTTGAAAGAAGGTCAAGGTGATTTTCATTAGCAAACTTTGTCAGACTCACTCATACGATGCCACTGGTCATATATCATGACTTTAGGCATTTCGGATCTTCATAATAGGTCATTTGAATGTTTTGACCTATATGACCACTGTGACCTTGAACGTAGACCAATATTATTTTCATTGGCAAACTTTTTTAGGCTCCATCATAGAATGGTACTAGCCAAATATCATGACCTCAGACCTTTCGGGTTTTCATAAGAAATCGTTTGAAGGTTTAGACCTATTTCACCTTTGTGACCTTGAAAGTATGTTAAGCTCATTTTTATTCGCAAACTTTGTTGGGCTCAATAATAGGCCATCATAAGATGCTACTGACCAAATAGCATGACCCTTGGCCTTTCAGCTCTTCAGAGGAAGCCTTTTGAAGGTTAAGATCTGCCTGTATTTGACTTTATGTGACATTGCAAGTAGGTCAACATCATTTTTATTCGCAAACATTGTTGAGCTTCATCATAGGATGCTCCTGGTCAATTATCATGACTCTAGGCCTTTCATAACTGCAGGAGAAGTCGTTTGAAGGTTTAGACCTATTTCACCTTTGTGACCTTGAAAGTATGTTAAGCTCATTTTTATTCGCAAACTTTGTTGGGCTCAATCATAGAATGCTACTGGCCAAATATCATGACTCTAGGCCTTGCGGATCGTTAGAAAAAGTCGGTTGATGGTAAAGCCCTATTTGACCACTATGTGCTTGAAAGTAGGTTAACGTCATTTTCATTCGCAAACTTTGTTGGGCTCCACCATAGAATGGTACTGGTGATATACCATGACTTGAGGCCTTTCGGAGCTTCAGTAGAAGTCATTTAAATGTTTTGAACTATTTGACCCCTGTGACCTTAAAAGTAGGTCAACGTCACTTTCATTTGCAAACTTTGTAGAGATCTATCATAGAATGCTACTGGCCAAATATCATGACTCTAGGCCTTTCATAACTGCAGGAGAAGTCTTTTGAAGGTTTAGACCTATTTGACCTCTGTGACCTTGCAAGTGAGTCAATGTCATTTTCATTTGCATAATTTGTCAAGCTCAATCATAGGATGCTACTGGCCAAATACCATGACTCTAGGCCTTTCGGATCTTTAGAAAAAGTCGTTTGATGGTAAAGACCTATTTGACCACTATGACCTTGAAAGTAGGTCAACGTCACTTTCATTCGCAAACTTTGTTAGGCTCCATCATAGAATGGTACTAGCCAAATATCATGACCTCAGACCTTTCGGGTTTTCAGAAAAAATCGTTTGAAGAGTTAGACCTATTTGACCTCTGTGACCTTGCAAGTGAGTCATTGTCATTTTCATTTGCACAGTTTGTCAAGCTCAATCATAGGATGCTACTGGCCAAATATCATGACTCTAGGCCTTTCATAACTGCAGGAGAAGTCTTTTGAAGGTTTAGACCTATTTCACCTTTGTGACCTTGAAAGTATGTTAAGCTCATTTTTATTCGCAAACTTTGTTGGGCTCAATCATAGAATGCTACTGGCCAAATATCATGACTCTAGCGCCTTTCGGATCTTTAGAAAAAGTCGTTTGATGGTTAAGACCTATTTGACCACTATGACCTTGAAAGTAGGTCAACGTCACTTTCATTCGCAAACTTTTTAGAGACCCCTGTGAACTTGAAAGTAGACCAACATTCCAGGCGTACGACGACTTTGAGGATCGAACCACGGCCGCCTGCGTGGAAGGCCGAGTGTTAACCACTCTACCAATCCGCCCATATATCTTACATCTTGACAATAATTTGGAAGAAATCGGGGGGCTTGAGGCAGAACATGGTTTTTAGGTTTTTCCCACCTGAAATTTTTACCTCATATTATATCATTTAAGAGAGCTCCAAGAAAGAAGGTTTGAGCACAGAATTAATGCTTGAGCATGAGAACGGTTTCATGAATACGGGCCCGGATGATACTTGTTATCCCAGATGCTGTATGCCTTGCTGGATTGTAGTTGACTGGATTGGAGGAATAAAGACATTCTAAAGGAGACAATGCTTAAAATCAATGGGTTAGAATAACTCTATAAAATCATTGGAGTATTTTGTATCTTAAGTATGGTGGTATATTAACTTTGAAGAAATCTGAAGTGCAATGGTATACTTTCTTCGATAGGTTAATAGCCCTTGTTGGCAAATTCGTTTCAAAAATGTCTGCGAGAACAGGTTGAAAGGGGTTTTGCCTAGTGATTGGTCAGGGTTTTTTTACTCAAGATTTATCAAATAGTTAGCCGCGTGTCTTCAATTTTGCTATGACATCTTCCAGGGGTGTCTCCCTAAGAACCCAGGCTCATGAGAAGGCCTTTAACTCCATACAAACATATATGTGAGATTACTTCTTTATCTAATTTGAATTTCATTATGTAAGCAAATTGATTTATGTTTAAGACATCTCAGAATTTTACACCATTTAAAAGAAAAAATTCTGACCAATCACTAGGCCGATACCTGTCCTTTGAAGATTACAGAGGAGCAACACCAGACTTCAAAGACAGTCAATTTTACTACAACGTGACCGGGAGATTCTTTTGATGTACATAAAAGGATCAAACTTGTCTCGTCTCATCCACAAGGATCTTCGATTTTGCTATGACATATTCCAGGGGTGCAGAGCGAAAGTGAGCGTATCTCCTGGGGTATCAAGGATGGGGATACATGTACACGGTGTATGGTGTTGCACCATTGTAGAGTACATATACATATATAATGAACTCTTTTATAGAAGTAGCCTTACTGTATAGCGTTACAGCCTTCTTTAGCGTCCTACACAAAGTACATCTCAGTTGTTATAACATGATGCTTTCCTCTATTTCACAAAGTTTTCTATAGAAATAAACGTCTAACTGTATAACGTTATCACATTTAAGATCAATTTGCTATGAAATATCATGTTTGCTAAAGAAATTTAGAACATTGATGCGTCACCGCATCACAAACTCAGTGCATGCACAAATGACATAGAATAGAAAAAAACACTTAACTAAGATGTTTTTACATTTGTTGTTTTATTTGTCAAATATTTTGTTGTACGTCTTTGGAAGATTCAAAGACTTTAACAATAAAAAGTAACATCTTAAACATGTATAATTCATTGTAGTAAAAACTAATCACATTTGTTACAAAACTTCTCAGTATTTAAAAATAATGTCTACACAAAATATCACTAAAGAAGTATGGACAAGTCTGATATGTATAACATGTTCCGTATGGCATACAAAATAACTGAAATGTTTATTAAGGTGGGAATGTCTGTAGTGTCTACAGGTAAATATAGTATAGTAACCTTTGCCTTGTGCTACTAAAATGGTTTCCCATTAAATCCTATATATACAGAACATTTACTGGTTTCCATTAAATCTCATATATACAGAACATTTACTGGTTTCCCATTAAATCCCATATACAGAACATTTACTGGTTTCCCATTAAATCCCATATATACAGAACATTTAATGGTTTCCATTAAATCCCATATACGGAACATTTAATGGTTTCCCATTTTACCCGTCTGGCAGAATATACCAATATTTTTACACAAGCTTTGCACTGATGTTTTGTCTTGTGAAATATATATGAAAATTGTGACATGCATATAATGTGATCTGTACAACACCTATCAATAACTACCACGTTGATGAACGGGGGATGGGGGGATTCTGCAGGGTAAAATAGTAAGTGTTATTTAAATAATGTGTTCTGCATAACACATGGAATTACTACCATGTTGATAAAGGTGGGAATATTTGTAGTGTGTACAAGTAAATATATAAATAATATGTTATGTATGACATATGGATTTACGACCATATATTGATAAAGGTGGGAATATTTTTAGTGTATACAAGTAAATATATAAATAATATGTTATGTATGACGGATGGAATTACGACCATATACTGATAAAGATGGGGAATATTTGTAGTTTGTACAAGTAAATATATAAAATCTGTGCCCTGTATTACCAATGAAACATCCGAGCATCCACATGTCACTTTCACATGTATAACGCTTTGCTCGACACATATGGTTTTTTATGGTATGACTTCTAACCTGTCAATCAAGGTGGAATGTTTGTAATGTCTACATGTAAATAATGTGCATCGTCTATATATATAACTGATATGTGTTCTATATATACCGACAGTTAATTATAACTCTGACATGTATCTTTTACTCTGTATTACACAGAAGATAACTTACATTCTGATTAACATCAATACATCTTTGTTTTATCTTTAACACATCATTCTCTATAAACACACTCAGGCCATGGTCACCTGTGATCTTGACCAACTATGATCTTGACCAACTATGATCTTGGCGATCTGTGATCCTTGTCAACTGTCTTAATTATCTTAACTAAACTTTTTGTGATATCTGATCAGATACAGACAATGAAGCACCTTTTCTTAAGTTTTGACAGTTTCATATTAGATTTAAACTTTCCGTGTTCTTGTCTCATTTTGTCTCCAAGTCAAGATATCTCTGAATTTAGTAAATATTCATCACGGTAAAGTACTTGCATTTGCACATACAGAAATATAGAGATTCTATATTTAGCAGTTATCATATTTTATAATTTGAATCAGCACAAAGAGTGCTAAATATTAACTAAAATGTAAGCATGCTTACAGCATATAAACATAGGTCATTATAAATATCGCAATTTCTATATTTTTGTTTTGATGTAGATATTATCTTTTCTTCATCGTAAGACTTTAAAAGGTCATTTAATACATTTCCCTGCCATTTGTTATTTGACCTCTAGACATTTTCTCCGTAACACCGCATAACACATTGTTGGACCTCTAAACAGATTCTACACCAAATGTTGACCTGCCAGTTTTGTTTGTCGGGTTGACCACTTGATATTTTCTACACCTGACCTGCTATTGGTTTGACTGGTGTTATATATCAGTTCCTGACACTAGGAGTCTGTGACCTTGAAGACATAGGAAGTTCAAATTTTTCCCTGTAATCGTCCAATTCTGTGGTGTGTTCCATGTGTTTCTTTAAATCCTCATCAGTACGAGCTTTAGAATGCATTAGGATCCGTGATGTACATGTGCCAATACTATCTGAAACACAGAAAAATGTCTACTGTTAAGCCTATTCTAATGAAATATCTACACTGAAAATAATCATAGTTAATGAAAAAATATTCATTATGATCAATATGCTACTGTGACAATTGTATTACATGTATATCTGTTTTTACCTTGCTCTGTGCAATATATGGGCGCACATTACTGCAGAAGGTAACGGGATTCGGTGAATGTAATGTAAAGATTTTGTGGTCATGCTACTTAATATAAATTTAGGGTTATAACATTAATTATATAAACAGTGATTTTTGTACCGACAGACCGATAGAAAAGGCAAACGCCACTATTGTGACCTTTGACTCAATGACCTGGGAATGTTGTCATAATGTAGCTTGCATCTATGCTACATTTACTCCAATGTATGCGTAAACAAAATACCTACTGTTTTTCGAGAATATTAGCCATTTCAGTAACGTAGTTAATTCATGACCTTTGACCTCTGACCCAACAACCATCAAACCCATGCGTACACCTAAGAGAAGTAGGAGGTACAATTTTTTGTCTACAGACAGACAGACGTACAGAGTGATTCCAGTATACACCCTCCCCCCCTATCTTCATTGCAGGGGGTATAACCATGAGCCACTGTGCAAGTCCTATAAACAATTAAAGACCACCTGGATCCCTGACAGCTTTTGAAAAACACTGGGTCATTGTACCTCCATCTGTGAAGACCGGTACAACCTCCTCCTCCTCCACTTCCTCCTCCTCATCACTAGATACCACAAAACCTGCTTCACGCTTCTCAGCATTTGTCACTTCCTCCTCGTCAAGTATCTTCAAATGCTCCAGGTCCTGTATGAGGCGTCCTCTGTAATATAAGGGACAATTTAACTACGCATAGTGGGAATAAGTCTGGGACGTCGGACAGAACACCTGAGATTTTCTTACTCTGGGATACTAATCTTCAAGAGACCAAACTTTACTAAAAATAATATACTTTGCTCTAGGATACTACACTTGAATCATGGATACTAAACTGGGACAATATACTTGGCTCTGAGTAATACATCAACTTCCTGAATAATATACTAAATTCTGAAATGCTATACTTTTTTCTGCATACTACATTGTATATCTGACTCCTGCATAACAAAAACTGACTCTGGGATACCAAACTTGAGTCTAGGATATTTTGCATGACACTCGGATACTTTACCTGAATCTGAGGCATTTTATATGACTCTTGGATACTAACCTTGAGTCTGAGACATTTTATATTACTCTGGGATACTAAACTTGAGTCTTGGATATTTTTGTGACTCTGGGATACTACACTTGAGTCTGAGACATTTTATATTACTCTAGGATACTAAACTTGAGTCTTGGATATTTTTGTGACTCTGGGATACTATACTTGAGTCTGAGACATCTTAAATTACTCTGGGATACTAAACTTTGAGTCTTTGATATTTTTGTGACTCTGGGATACTACACTTTAGTCTGAGCCAATTTAAATTACTCTCGGATACTACACTTGAGTCTGAGATATTTTATATTACTCTGGGATACTAAACTTGAGTCTTGGATATTTTTGTGACTCTGGGATACTACACTTGAGTCTGAGACATTTTATATTACTCTAGGATACTAAACTTGAGTCTTGGATATTTTTGTGACTCTGGGATACTATACTTGAGTCGGAGACATCTTAAATTACTCTGGGATACTAAACTTTGAGTCTTTGATATTTTTGTGACTCTGGGATACTACACTTTAGTCTGAGCCAATTTAAATTACTCTCGGATACTACACTTGAGTCTGAGACATTTTATATTACTCTAGGATACTAAACTTGAGTCTTGGATATTTTTGTGACTCTGGGATACTACACTTGAGTCTGAGACATTTTAAATTACTCTGGGATACTAAACTAGAGTCTTGGATATTTTATACAACTCTGGGATACTAAACTTGAGTCTGCAGTTTTTAATTTGACTCAGGGATAATAAACTTGAGTCTGGATATTTTTTTAGGACTGTAGGGTACTATAACTACTGATGAATACCCTATTTTGTGTGATGGTTGGTCACCTGAATTTAACGATTTGCACCTGATGTGACAGGTCTGTCACCTAATATGTAAGGGTTTGTCACCTGACATGTGACAAAGTGTCATAGATTGTTGATCTTTATTTTTTAGATAAGTTCTTTTCATTAGTATTAAAGCAAATTTTGTTACTATTAGGAATCAAAGCAATTGTTGTAATATTACCTGTAATCTGGTAGGCTGGTGCAAGGGTTTTCCTTTAAATTAAGGATCATCACAGACTCTGGAAACTCATCTAAAACAGTAAAAGATATATCAATATGTATTCAAACTTTTTGAAATAACAAATAAAAAAAAGCATTAGCAGAAAATATTAGATTTATAGAAAAAGATTGATTGTATACTTCCACATGTATATTCCGTCTTTGCGTATTGCAGAGTTATCTTCTCTTGTGAGCAGGTATTGATGTTACGTCATTTGTTTGTGAGAGTAGCGTCATCAATTTTTGAGACGACGACATAATTTTCTCACACAAACCAATGACGTAACAGTCAATACCTGCTCACAAGAACGATAACTCTGCAATACGAAGTGACGGAACATATAGACCATGTATGTATGGACTTTTATCATGTATGGTCTTCTGTGTTCCTGAATAAACTTGACTCTAGGAAACTTTACCTGGCTCCAGGACACCTAACTTCACTCTAGTATACCATACCTGACTCTGGGACACAACACTGAACTCTAAGATAATATACTTTATTCTAGGATACTATAATTGACTCCAGGAAATTATAATTGACTCTTGTATACTATATTGACTCTGGATTACTATTCTTGACTCTGGAGTACTATTCTTGACTCTGGGATACTATTCTTGACTCTGGAGTACTATTCTTGACTCTGGAGTACTATTCTTGACTCTGGGATACTTTACTTGACATTGAGATACAAAATATACTCCCTGAAACTATAATTGACTCTGGAGTACTATACTTGGTTCTAAGACACTTGCCTTGACTCTGGAATACTGTACTTGGCTCTCAGGCATTTGACTTGACTCTGGGATACATACTTGGCTCTAAGACACTTGACTTGACTCTGGGATACATACTTGACTCTGGGATACATATTTGGCTCTAAGACACTTGACTTGACTCTGGGATACATACTTGACTCTAAGACACTTGACTTGACTCTGGGATACATACTTGACTCTAAGACACTTGACTTGACTCTGGGATACATACTTGGCTCTAATACACTTGACTTGGCACTGGGATACATACTTGACTCTTAGACACTTGACTTGACTCTGGGATACATACTTGGCTGTAAGACACTTGACATGACTATGGGATACATACTTGGCTCTAAGCCACTTGACTTGACTCTGGAGTACTATACTTGGCTCTAAGACACTTGACATGACTCTGGGATACATACTTGATTCTGGACACTTTTTCTCAACAGTATCATTTTCAACTTTACCTCACATAACATTTTTTACCACAGGACTATTCCCTGTGTAACATTCAAATTAACATGAAAAGTGCTTAATCTATCATGGACTTTTTTCTTAGGAACGTTCCTTTTATATTGTTTCATAGAAAGAATTAAAACTTTCCACATGTTTTTGTTGGTAATATATATGATTCAAAGAAATGAAAATTATTTTTAGTGGGTAATTTTTTGAGTAAATTCATCTTTTGTGAGAAATAAAGATTTAAAACGAATTAAAAAAAGATAAGTTTTACATGATGTCTACCTACCGATCTGGAAGTCATGGATGTGGTTGTGTGACAGGTCGAGGAACAGCAGTTTGTTGAGGTGGGACAGTCCCTCTACTTGTCTTATCTGATTATCAGCCAGCGTGAGAAATGTCAGATTCTTCAGACATTCAAGATTCTCTATAACCTGAATCTTGTTCTGATGTGACAAAAAATACCAATTACTTTGCAATATTACAAAGAGCTTTGTCCATATGAATGATATTTCAGGCAAAATACAATATGTCAATAAAATAAACTGCAGATAGAATTAACAACACCCTGCATACCAGCTGCTGAACATGACAAGGGGAGACAAATGATCTGTTCAATCTGTGAAGATCTTAGTAAAGAATATAAACACACTGATAACAACAATATAATTTGTTCAACCGAATAAAGGCAACTTCAGTTGCTTACAAAGAAGTATGGCATTTCATGCACGAGCTGAAGAAAGGTGTATTAACCTTCCCTTGCTATTTCAAAGTGTCCTAGTGGGAAAAATTGTGTTTGTCAATTTTTTATTAGCAAACTTTTGCCATTCACTGATTCTAATTTTTATAATTCATGTACAAATATAGAAAAAGAATGGCATTTCATTAGATTAGACTTGATTTCTAAAGTAATCCTAAATATATAAAGTTTAGATCACAACCAGAGCAAAGCAGACTTTGTCAGGTCTGTGAAAAATTGTCAAATAATGGATCAAATCCTAATTAGCATATTACAAAAAGAGATAAATTGATTCTATATGATTATTAAACAATCATCTTCTGTAAATACCAATTGATAACTTAAAATACATAATAACAGACTTTAACCCTTTCACCCCTATGTAGCTTTAGCCAACTCAACCATACATTGACCTGAATGAGTCCATTGTGGTCTACAGTGGTGAAAGGGTTAAGAGATACTATAAGGTTCACAAAGAAGTGATGATCAGTTATGTTTATCTAACTCAGGTTATTTACTTTTCAAATTGTACAAAGGTATGAGGTTTATCGAGTGCCTTTTTTTCAATTTGAAAATTAACTAATGAGAGTTAGATAACATGACAATCAACCATCATGAGTTAGGGGACCTGTTTCTCTTATGACGTTCGTATTTTGATTTCCCATGTAAAATACATTATGTTTGTTTCTGATGCGGGGAAACAATTGCCATGGATCATGACAACACAATGGAAGATGACGTGGCAGAGCATTGTTACATAAACTTTATTTATTTTACAAAAATTATGAAATAAGTTATTTCAACTTATGTTAATAACTCTTGTTGGCCTGGATGTTAGCGCGCGGGGGGTCTTAGTGGGAGAGGAAACCGGAGTACCCAGATAAAACCCACGTGGTCTGGTAGGTGACCCTAAACCTTTTAAACCAATCGGGGAATCGAACCCTGGCCGCCTTGGTGAAAGGTAAGTGTGCTATCCACTGCACCACCCGACCACCCAAGAGCATTGTTATGTGACGTCATAATTCAAACATTCACCAATAAAATCACTCCAGAGTATTACCCACTTACCAAAACTCCTAGCACCTTTATCAAACGAGTCGTAAGTGATGAAACTTACAGTGGCTATGGGAGAAATAATGTTTACCTTTGGCAAGTTGCAAGTACTGTCTTTTTAGCACATTACAACGGATACCTATAAATATAGATTCTATAACATTTACCTTCTGTAAATACACATTGGTGACTTTGTCTCCGAGCAATTCCAGATTGTCTATCTGTCCAATGTTTTCTCTATCCAGCCGGAGGTGAGTGATTTTGTTGAGAGCTTGTACTCTGTAAAACCATAAGATACACATTATATCTATTTATAATGTTACTGTAAATGACTGTAAAACAAATGTATAGTAATGTTGTTCCAAGAGGTAAACATTATTTTCATCATGTATCTGCCAGTATGGGATGTACGCGACGTCAGAGAAACAAAATTTACTTAGATTTTGATCTACTCAAATAGTGTATATAAATACTAAGAAGGACACAGGAAACTTAAGGGGAGATAATTCATACAAGACTAATTAAGTGATAACAAGACTTTGTGCTAATTACATCTCTTCCTGGCTTTTCTGCTGGGCACTGTTGATGTGTCTTTTCTGGATGAGATGTAGAGACAATCTCACAGGTTTAACCTCAGCAATTTGGAAGTCCACTACAAAAAGAACAATAAATGCTATAGGAACTACAGTACATGTATGTATAGAGGTAGTCAGGGGCTTCAGGCTTAGGCATTGATTCATGGTGGTTCGCTATAGATCTATAGGGAGCTAAGAGCACGTGGTCTTAGTCTACTGGTATTGGTAGTACTGTTAGGTAGGATAGGCCATCACTCTACACACGTAGGGATTGAGATTCTTAACAATAGCTGTCATTGTTCTGCACTAATGCTATGCTTTGTATTGGTACATTGTACTTGTTCTAGATATTCATTGTTAATGTTAATAAATAATTATCTGTATTTTGAAACACCTTGTTGAGTTATTAAATCAGTTGCTTGTATTACCACTACATCCAGTGTTCGAACTCGAGTGAAAACAGGTCTGTAACCTGACGAAAGAGGCGAGATCTAGAGAGGACCGCAGAGGATTAAATTTTCGACTCGTAACAATTACCAAAAACTATACGATCACAAAACGTATTTAGCGGAATGACAACAGATGCAATACTCTAAATTTCAAACCCCTGGTAATTCATATTTAAAGACATGAATTAAACATAAGAAATTCAGATATCGATGAAGATATAGTGAACTCATATAATACAGTACTGTATTAAGTTATCAAAATGGTATAAGAAGATATGACATCAATATATATATATATAATGTAACAGGAAAGAAAATAGTGTACACTGCTTGCACCTCAGGATCAAACCAGTGATCCAAGACTTCCTAGTCAGACGCTCTACCACTGAGCTAAAAAGGGAAATTCCCTCTAGCGCAAAGCTAGAAGGCAACCGTAATCCTATGTACAACTAAAATTTGCCACACTAATTACTACCCACTTTTTAAATGTGTTCGCCCTCGAAAATCCCAACTCAGATTCAAACTCCCTGTCACCACAGGAAGGGCCACGAACACAATTTGAAACAGGAAAAAGAGCAGTGTTGTACCACCGGGGTCGAACCCACGATTCTTATGTTCCTAGTAGGACGCTCTACCACTGAGCTAAAGCTGGGAAATTGCCTCTTAAAAGCGGGCGCGTGGCTAGAGTAGAAGGTGATCGTAATATCTTATGTACAATTATAATCTGCCACAATAATATAAGGCTTTCTGCCTAATGAACAAAAAAACACTTGCGTTCTAGCATGTTGTAATATCGGGGAACGCTTTTCTTGAAGACATGACTTAAGTTTTCTCTTAGTTTTTCACAAAATGTTAGACAGAAAGACACTGAAATTTTAACGTATTTTAGGCTTCCATGGGATCACCCATAGAAACCAATGTTTCGGTGGCGCTATTCACTAGAAGAATGATAAAGACGGATACATTCAACTCCACATTCATTATTGTTACATTAACTTGTATACCCGAGTCGTTCGCGGCGATGCCTTCTCCATGTTCCATTGCTTTCAACGTTTGTTTTTGTTGTGGTTGGAGACTAAATGAATCAAACGCTTGATACCATCACATTTCCTTGCTTTAATTAAACCGCGAGAAAGACCATGAAGTGATAACTAATTTACGACCGACGTATTTCCGGATAAGGTGCTAGCTGTGGAACGGTGCCTGCTCGTTGAACAACAGTTGACAGGTTTGAAGTTCAATTTTCGGTTTCGTTTTTCATTTAGATATCTAACACGTTTGATGTTTTATTAATTCAAACTTTATTTTAATTCCAGCGAGCCTATATAAAACAATTCCAATGTTCTAATTTTCGCGGGATACATGACCAGATGGATAATCTAAATCATAAGCCGAAACCGGACGTAATAGTTAAATTTAATTAATATTTAGTTATTTAATTTACCTGACGTTGCATTATCTGTGCTGGAAAGAATTAATGCATAAACAAATTATATAAAATATTGAGTCCATGATTTGCAAGTTGTTTTAAAAGTACTAATTTGCCATTCTATACTTACCACAGGTGTTGGCCACACTAATTTGATGTGTGTATATATATATACTATAGTGTGTCCAGCACCTGTGATACTTAGTAATACAATACATTTTCTTTTATCAAAATGTGTCATTCATTAATTGTTCTGTATAATGTTAGTGTTCCAAAATAATGTGAGTAGGCAAACTCACTAGGTGATAAATCAAACAGTCATTGGTAGAATATTTAGTTGTGTAGAATGACTATTCAACCGCACAAACTTACTGTAGAGTGTGGTATTTGTAGGAGGACCATTTTACAATATGAGTGGACCCCGGAAGCATAGTCTTCTGGACAACATCCAGGCGAGATTCCAACAACAGCACGAGGAACGCCAGGAACGGGTATTCATTTAAATCTCTTTATATATTTCACTGGAACCTTTGTAATCCAAACTAGATAATTTATGTTAAAAAAAGACTGGATCTTATTTCACTATATCTGAGGACTACAGTTCAAACTGTTAGAAGTCACTGTGCCTCTGCAAAAAAATGTCTGCAAATACAATTAGCCTAAGTTTCCTCTTGTCCAGTGACACAAGACTTAGATACTTTGACATCTATCTGTCGAAATGTCTAAGTCTGGTGTCAGGGCCAAAGGAAACTCGGGCTACAAGTAGAATATGCTTGAATGAAGGCTATCAAGTTTGTTCATATGAATCGACTTTGACCCATTATCAAAGTCACAAAGGTAAAATATATATGTAAAGTGGTGTGGCTTTAGGCTCATGATAAGGCAGAGCTACTCCACAGCTCATACACAGGACAGACCTCAACTTAATTACTTGTGTTTTAGGTGGAGAGGCAGCAAGCTAAGCGTGAGGCAGAAATAGTTCACAGCCGTTACCTTAAACAGTACGTTGTCGACCCAACAGAAATGGCAAACGCCAAGTTTGTTGTGGACCACTGGGCCAAGAGACATGGAAGTAAGTCTCTGTTGTGGAGTTATTAGGTGTTTCCTTGCCCTGACCCCTAAATATATGAAGTAATTGTTGGGCAATTAAGGAAGGTTTGGTTTAAACATATTTTTATTGCCTTGAAAATGACAAAAAGGATTAATAGGCACAAGTTCTTACAACCTAATTAAGCAAGGAAGGTTTACACAGAAGACTGACACTAACAAGTTCAAGGTGACAATTCCTTTAAAACACAGAATGATACATTTATACAGCCATGAATGAATTATCAATTGTGAAAATGCTGGTCTCTTTGAAGTTGACATGTAATAACGTATTAAAAGATCTGAGTAAAAAAATTGTTCTTGATTAATAATTACCGCATTTACCTGTGATAACCCCTTGCCTGGTAATAAGCCCACACCCGCTTTTCTTTCCTTTCCGTGCATGGGGTGGGTGACCGATAATATGCCCACCCCCTTCATCAGCATTTTTTTACATCGTGCAATTATTTATTGTTAAAAATTTGTGTGATATGACTTCATTATGCTGAATTTCTATTAATCATTGAGGAAATAAAGGTAATTTATCTGTATATATGGATGTAGCAAATTGTTATAATTTACATATACAACTATGCATATATATCAATCTGAAGATACAATTGATCACTTCATGTTTGTACTGGTTTTTGTGCTCATGAGAAATAACTTGTGCATGCACTAGATATCCTTTCTTTTTGGTTTCTTTCAACGACATTGAACATAGTGTCTTTCTCAGTACTTTTGGAAATTGACTGTATCTTAAAATTGTGTTCTGACTGAATTTAGTGTCATAATATAACAAAATATAAGTGAATGTAGTTTTATCTGTGATGAACATGCGAGCTGGAGAGAACATCAAGAACATGACTAGATGTTTGAACAGTTATGATTTTTCTTTTCTTTTTTGACAGCCACAGTCGAAAAGCATATCAAACAGGCCATCAAAGCAAAAGGCCAAACGCCCAATCAAAGACGAAGACAAGGGCAACAGGACAGGTCACGACAGGATAGGCGTTACCAACATCAAACCAACTATACTATCCAGCAGGAAAGACTTGCTAGAGGTGTGGCATCTGTGAGTGGTCCTTACCATCCAGTGAACAGCCCTGGTGCCTCCAAACAAACTAAAGCTAGAATTCCAGAATCTTCCAGTAGTATTGACAGAGTAGTGTCACAGTCTCCCCGAGGGTCAAACAGCTCTGGGTATAGCCAGAGTCCTGATCTAAGTACAGCCCACAAACCAAGGAAAGCTAAGGTCTGTACAGACACTGGGAGGCATAACATAAGTACCTGTCCCAAAGATATCTCCGAATACATAGATGTTGATCTTTTAGATGAGTCAATGTCACTTGGAAATTGTGTCAGGGAATTTAATAAGCAAGCTACTGTCAAGAAATGTGCATCAGAGAAGAAGTCTTCTGTTGTCAAGAGGTCATCACCAGTCATGTGTAGCCAGGATACAAACAAGAAACTGTCACAGTTGAATAGTCACAGAGACCTGGACACCAACCAGGGGGGCTATTCTAATCCAGTCACAATCAAGGAAGAGATTCTGGTTGAAGATGAAGATGATATTTCATTCATCTCAGTAGACTGTCCGGACATAGCAGCTGTGACCCCTGACCCTGTTACCCTTGACTCTGTGACCCCAGTCCCAGTGACAGCTAGTCTGTCAGGGACAATGTGCTGCGTGGTCAACTGTGGTGCTGACTTCTCCACCAAAAGTGGAATACTTGAGCACGAAGCAAGCTTTGATCACTCTCCCTGTAACCCACTACTCCTGACCAAGGACTGTCGCCTTCCTCCTACCCCTCTGGGTTATGCCTGTCCGAAGTGCTTTCAAGTGTTTAAGGTAGGTACATGTACGTCATCCTGTAAACCAACTTTTACATGTTTCACAGTTTATGCAAGAGGTAAAGTAACCATTGTGAGTGTAGGTAGATTTTCTGCAGCTGTAATTAACAAGAGAATTGCTTTTAGATTCCGATTTTTAAGATCAAGAGGTGAAAACGAAAAAGACCAACTGTATACCGGGAAACGTTGATCCAGTTAAACTTTCACCCTTCACCGACGGAATCCTTATTCGCCAAGTGTTAAATTTGCCCTTACAGTGTGGGAACGGTGGTGTAAAAAGAAAACGAGGGAATTATAATAATTATAGTCCGGAAGTTCTGGTGAAAATGGCTATAAAGTATGCTGTTAAAAATAGCATAGCCAATGCCGCAAGAAAATTCACCAATAACTATAAGGGTCTCCCGTCAACCAAAGCACGATATGTGGAATTTTTTTGAAATATTAAATCATTAAAAATAAAACAAATGGTCAATCCTTCATTATGAAACGTAATGTCGCATTACACACACTGTATCCCCCAATTGCATCACATACAGTACCTGAGTTAAGCCTCAGTGTAGATGAAATAGTGAAAAAACATGTGCCGTCTTATACCTAAATTTTGAAAACTTTCGCCGTCATGTTAAATTCGCCCTCAGATCGGAAGGCGGAAGTGGCGAGAGTTAAACAGTGGCGAGAGTTTCCCGGTATACAGTATTAGGATCTCCTTTGTTTGTTTTTATCAGTTGCTGTTACTGTATCTATGGCTGGCATTAATACAGTATACTTATATATTGCATTTTGCCAGTGAAATATTGGATTCTATCAACTTGATAAAACTGATATTTTTCACACTGTGACAAATAACAAAAGTGATATTTTCATGGTGTGAAAATACCACTTTTTGGTATTGACCAATCATAACGGTATCTTCTATTCGCTGCATTCAAATACAATAATTTTTTGTTCAGATTCAAATGAAGCGACTGTAGAATATGGTAAATGTGGTTGCTATTTACCATATTCAAAACGTTGCTACGGTAAATGTATGGAACACACACATAAGTATTTATATAAATATACAATTAATAACATTTTTATGACGAATCATATAAAAAAATAGCAGAAAATGTTGGAATTGCGTTGAGTATCCCATTCAAAATGGTGCGCAGCTTGATGTCATTAGAATATGGCGCTAATTATTATGCTTCTGATTCCCGCCTTTTTTTAATGCATAACATTTTTCATGTTTTTCTGCTTTAAAAATGTAATAAATAGAAAATTTAATGATGTCTTAAGTAATAACAAATATATTTCATGAGTGTGGCTAATATTTTGATATTGTGCACTCGTGAAAAATATCAAAATATTAGCCACACTCGTAAAATATATATGTTATTAATGAAGACACCATTAAATATCCTCTATATATCAAGAGCCTTCATTTCAGGGTTGGTTAAACTGAGTAACAATATTTCCATACACCTGTGTTGGTATTGTATGTAGACAGGCAGCGATTGTTTGGAGCACCAGAAGATGGTTCCTGACCACCTAGCATTCCTGCCCCCACTGAGTGTGGCCTGTTATCTCTGTCCTCAGTGCTTGGCACTGTTCCCCTCCCACCATCACTGTCAGCACCACATCAACCACCTCAGCCATCACCGCACCGCCTACCCTTTCCATGGTAAAACTTTACCATAACAATAATTTACTAAAACATCTGACTGTCCATCATATATATGAAAGTTCTAAAATTGATCATATTATATATATCCAAGTGATAAAACATTGAATTATACTTTTAAATTGACAAATTAATGAACAGTGCTGTCCTCTGAACAGAGGCATTGGTTTCTGAGCTTGCACTTCCCATTGCTCAGCTGTTTATATACAAACTCCATGAATAGGTCGCTTCTAAAATCACCAGTACTGTTTTGTTATTCGACTTAAAATGTATAAAATATTAAAGCTCAATGTTAACATTTATATTATAAATAGAAGTTTAATTTAATTTCCTTATCGCAACAACTCCAACATGCAAATGTTGTCAGTGGATATGAATGGATTGTTTCTTTAGTGAGTAAAGTTATGTTACAAGTTTGGGCTCATCTTTGCTATATAGTTATGATTTGAAGGAGAGATGTGTTGTTATTGGTAATAACAATCATAGCTACATGTAGTTTTTGGAAAAAATTGGGGAAGACTGCAATCCTGTAAAAATGTTTTGAGAAAGAGAAACTTCTCACTATAAGTTAACATTTACTAGATGAAATATATATTATATGATTTTTTTTTTGATAATGACATTGGCTATTTCAATTTTAGGTGACACAGGGAACCAAGCCAGTAATTCACCAATCCCAGTGTCCCGTCCACTAGCCGAGGATTTTCTCACCAGGTGTCGCTTTGTAACCTTCTCTGTCAGCTGTTTGGATTGTACACTGATTATAGAGTCAAATGCAGAAATGGTCGAGCACCTCAAGGAAACCGATCACCAACACTGGCACTTCATCACCACAGCAACACTACAACAGGTAACCAATCACCAACACTGGCGCTTCATCACCACAGCAACACTACAACAGGAACACTGGCACTTCATCACCACAGCAACACTACAACAGGTAACCAATCACCAACACTGGCACTTCATCACCACAGCAACCCTACAACAGGTAACCAATCACCAACACAGGCACTTCATCAACACAGCAACACTACAACAGGTAACCAATCACCAACACTGGCACTTCATCACCAGTGTGACATTACACCAAGTAACCAATCATTAACACTCACTTTCTAGTTACCATAGTCTGAATACTTTCACTACTATGTATAAAAAGTGTGGTTTGTTTGTGATTCTTTTTTTTTTTTTACAAAGGTGGAAGTTTTTTCGAAGTACTTGGAAAGCCATGCTTGTTCTACCTGTGACAGTGTGATGGCCGCTCCAACTTCTGACAACAATATTCATAACTGTGTATCGGATGAAACAGAGTCTGTGATTGGTCAGATCAAATATCTTGATTGTCAGACATTCAGAGACTTTGTACGAAGATGTTGTATATCCTTTGCTGTGTCCCAAGATGTAGAGCTCACTAATAGAATTCCTTATCAAAACCAATCTTCTCCAAGGAAGCTTACCTTGAACAGAAAGCGAAAACGTAGCAGTGACTCAGTTTGTGGAAAGGAGATCAAGGTTGAGGCAAGTCCCTGTGCTGATGATGTGGATATCTTCACAGAGCGATCAAGTAGTTCTTTTCCAACTGGAAAAGATGGTCAGACTAAATTGACCAGTGATGCGTCCTTAGAAAATACTTCATTGGAGAATACCAAATATCAGTCACCTGTCAAACAGATGCCAACTGTACATTTGGGGAAAGTTAGGGAAAATAATGATCATGAGGAGTCCTCAACAAAACATTCTCAGATTTTACCTTCAGACTGTCCAATTCTGGAATGGTTAAACATAACTGACCAGTCTCTGATTGTCCCAGCTAACCTCAATAAGATGTTGAACATCGTCTTTGTTAACTTAGACAATTGGCCCTACTTCTTCAGGAAGCTGCCTCTCACACTCCCGGATCGTACCTTTGTCTGGGGCTTCTGTGGCGGAACTTTGCAGGAACCGCACAGGTAAAACCATACTGACATTATTTTAATCATTTACGTCTTTGGAGAGCTCAAAGTGACTCTAGATATTATTATGGTATATACCGTACATTTTTGACAAAGTTTAATTTTCGACTTTTTTGCTCTCCGTAATTTATCATTACAGAGAATATAAGTGAACAACATAACATACAAGATGAATTCGTAAAAAAGTATTATGATATGGTTTCAGAATTTTGTAACAGTATTTGATTTTTTTTCTTTTTCAAATTGTTCAATATGTACGATTATATTACACAGCTGCCCAGTGTATGACCACCAGAGGAGGAATGGTCAGTTCTACCTCAGCCCACCATGTGGCCATAGTAAGGACGCGGCTGACTTTACACTTTGTCTCACGGTAGGTCTGATATATATATATTCTTAATGGTAACTAATATTTGTAGGATGTCATAGATGTGTAATGCTATATTACCAATATTTCAATATCCAGAACTATTGCTGTGGATTTTGCTTTGTGATTATCAGTGATCTGTACAGGCATATGCTGGGGCCGTCCTGACCTGTCAGTAGTCTATCTTATGAAGTCTTAGTCTTCCAATCATTGCTATCATTAATATCACAAATATCAGTCTACTGGTCAGATGTAAACTGGTGGGCAGCACAGACCAGTGGTACAAAAAGAAGTATATGTTAAAATTGAATGTCTTTGGATAGTGTTAAATCTGCATTTTTATGGTTTTACCCTCAGAATTGCATTTTAGGCCTGTTTTTGCATGTTTGAGAAGTTCTTAAAATTTGATGTTTCAAATAATATATAGAACAAATTAGTGTAATAGCGTGTCTTTTGTGTCACAGTTTGGCCGCATGGATGAGCGTCTAGATAAACGTGTCCACTTCACCATTCTGTCTGGTGAGCATGGTTACCAGGAGCTGGACAGGCAAAAGGAAAAAAACAATCGTACAGTTGTACTTATTGACCCTAGCGATACTCAACAATGGTCAGACTACAGCACTCTCTACACCATCATTAGTAGTGTAGGGGACCAGTGATTTATGGTTACTGGTGGTGTGTGGGGACCAATGGAATGTGTAACCAGTATGTACAACCCATTCACCCCTAAAGTCGCATTTGAACCTTACCAAGTCAAAGACTGGGCAAGTCCAGTTTAGATATGCAGGGGTGAATGAGTAATGGGACCAGTTGCATTTGATATCAGTAGAGTCAACATGAAATGCTATATATCTGCCTGTATCCATAAGATTTCTCCACATTTCATAGAAATATATGCAAGCATAAGAAGATGATAAACAATAAAAATGTTGAAAGTCTCTTGGTTTACCTCCCCTTAAATGTATGTTGCATGGTACCAAGATAAACTGCTTATAAGTTTTTATGCAATCAAACCTGTATCGGGTTATCACTGATGGGAAGCGAAAAAGTGGTTTTTAACACAACTGCTCTCTTAATATAGAGCTGGTTGTACGAGTCGGTTTGACTGTAGTGATACCAAGATATTCCTTCTTTGCGTATTACAGAGTTATCTTCTCTTGTGAGCAGGTATTGATTGTTACGTCATTGGTTTGTGTGAGAATTTTTTTTTGTCGTTTTCTCAAAAATTGATGACGTTTCTCTCACAAACCAATGACATAACAATCAATACCTGCTCACAAGAGCAGATAATTTTGCAATACGCAAAGACTGAATAGTGTTAGGTATTGTATTTCTGCAGTCACACTGCCATGTATTTTGATTTTTTATATAATTATGTAGTTTGACAGGTAACCCCATGTTGGGACTACTGTAGATGGTACAATAGATTTCGTCTCCCATTTGTATTTCATTAGGAGGCTCATTCATTACTAAATCTTTTGTCAATATTGAAATCCCATATACAATTACTATCAAGATTGAACAAGAATCCTCTCATTCTCCAAATCAAGTATTAGTTCATGAATAATGAATGGTTTTGTCAATTTGCAAAGTAAAGTGTTTACTGAATTATGGTGATTTACAGTACTTTGACAGTGCTGACCTGTCGACATATATACTGCCATATACAACTGGTCAAGAGCAAACCAATAAAACCACCACATTTTACTCTTGGTACACCGAGGACAACAATGGTTATAAGCATATCCTCACATCTTTGTCATTTAGGTTTTTTATACATTAAACTCATAAATATATATTATGATAAAATATTTGGTGTCCATTCTTTTTATCCATTTTTCCCAACAACAACAAAAGAAGTAAAATGTAAAATGGTGTATATTGATTTTACTGTTGGGTTAGCATACAATTTTCTGGAAAGATTTTAGAAATTGCTTGAAATGACAAGATGTGTGATAACCTAACGATTCTAAAACTGAAAGCACAGAGATTTATGTGTCCACACACGATACCATGTACAGATAAAACTTTATGGTACAAACCAATACAAGTCTTGCATCATTCATCAGTTTTATTTCAGGTATATCATTGTACATATTTGCGGTACTTTATTAGAATACTATGGGTTAACTCTGACCTGTGACCCCAGTATATATATACATGTGTACTGACCTTTTGACCCAAATATATTATAAGTTGACCTTCGACACAGCGCATGGTAAAACATTCATAGTATGATATGCAGTAGTATACATATTAGAATATAAATAACTTTTATAATTATATATACTTCATATATAATGAAATTTTAATCAATTTAGGACAATATAAAATAATACTTGTAAATGAATTAAGAAAATATTGGAGACACTCTTTTAAAAATAAGAGCAACAATTATAGATGATCACACATATAATTTATCATCTCAATAAATCTGGAGAATGAAGACAAGTTATTTAAACAAAACAAAAAGAGTCGGGCCAAAGTTCCAGCTTATTGAGTAATATAACTTTACACTGTAAATTAAATCACTAATTGTTTATGTGTTTTGCTCGAGAAATGAGTCTATTACAATCTCAATGCTCCTGCTTATATTTATTCTGGCAGATAATAATGATTATCGTAAATTCTTGTGAATATTATAAAGTTCTTTAAATCTCAATTGAAAAAAATAATTTGTGTGATCAAGGTATAAGCATAGTACCTATGATTAAAAAGATGAAATACATTACAGATTTGACTCTTAATATTTATCAGCACTTTCACAAGATGTCGCTGAATTGCCAGATATAAAAGATTACCTACATGTATATATATATAATATTTCACTTTAAGTCCTTGGCCAAGAAGTTCTGTCACGCATTGCTCGCCATCCACGGTCATCTGATACTGACCACGATGGTCATGTGACAAATAGCCAGACTATAGTATAAAGTATAAGCATATACCAGGTACATGTTGTTTATTAGGAAATACTTTGATATATCTGGATCAGAACTTTATATTTATGTTCCCCCTCTGCAAGTTCCTCTGAAAGCATTACCAGAAGAAACTGCATACATAGAGTTATTACTGGTCACGTAATTTGATAAGTGACATTTTTAAGGTTTTCCTTCGTCCTCAAATAATATGATACAACCGTCAGAAGCAAACATTTTGGTGAAGTTAATTAGGCTGTTCTAGGAATCTTGTTTGCATTGACGACACAGACACTTCAATATCGATAGTATAAGCAGTAGGGGATCCAGAGGTTTTTTGGGGGGTTCAGGAACAACCCTTTGGTCACGAGCCAGGCGTCCTACCTCTAGACTACCGTGCCTAATAATGATAACTTTAAATTTAGAATCTAAGAATTGAACAGCATTTTTCAATGTTCATGAATGCAAATAAGTTACATTACATATTTACCAGGAAGCCCTAATGGGCATCATGGAATATATACATGTATGTTTGTGTTCATACCGGCATGAAGTTGAAAAGATGTCGTTCAATCCTTAAATATGAATCTGATTGGTTATGCTTGTACCCTGAGATATTTATATTAAAACACAACATTTAAGAAAGTTTACTGTATTTTCAATTATATTCGGAGAATCTTAAGAAATTGTTAATGGTGGTTGAACCTTAACCTCAGTGTCAATAATGATATACATAATTTACTGATAAAAGTTAACATTTATCTTTATATAAAATATTAGAAATTTCATCTTTATACAATATTTGCGCTTTTGATTCTTGGCTAACATCAATCCATGTACATTAATGTAACACCTAATCAAAACTGAACTTAATCATAAAAAATACTGAGGAAATTAGTAGAATTTATATGCATGTATGTTGTAATGTATTAAAAAATATACATAAATTTATCTTTGCTAGACATCATGGTACCAAATATAGTTTGAATAATCCTATACATTTTTGAATACATAAAATTCACCAACAAATCTATTTACAAGTTACACTATTATTAACTCATTCACCCCTGAAGACACATTTGAACTCTTCCGATTCAAAGGTTGGAATAGTTCATTATGAAATACAGGGGCGAATGAGTTAAAGTTCATATAGACATACTCTATCTATATTACCGTACTTATCCTGCAATTAGTCCACAGGGCCACACATAATCTCTGATCCAAAGAGGGGGAGGGGCTTAAAGTTATTACAGAACAACAAAATAACATTTTGCATTTCTGCTGATTTGCAATATAAATGGGAAGGCTTATTAGCAGGCTTTGGTTCATGCTGGGTAAATACGGTATATGTGTAGAGCATAGACACATGTACACATATATAGTACATTTCATTTGTATATTGACAAAGAATAGAAGAATCCAGCTACCCTAGAAGATAACATACAAATTACAAGTTACATTATAATTTGAAAAGAACGTATATGAGCCAATAAGGCCATGCATGTCTCCTAAAATACAGCATTTACCTGATTGACCTACTTCACCTTCAATCCGCACTACACATCTCAAAGACATAGTCTATTGGTACAGCGATATCCTGGGACAAATTGATACCATGAAACCTGACTTCATTGACACCAAGGAATACTGGATCATTTGGTAAGATACGAAAATGTGTCAAAAAGAACCAGTGCGAAAGACACTAATTGAATTTTTTCCCCCATAAAATTATGTAGGATATATTACATTTTGTTGTTAAAGTCAGTTGTTTATAGTAATGAGTTTCATTTGAAAAATAATATTCCCAAATTAGCATGACCTTAGATGCCTATAAGATAACAGATTCACAGCTAACACAACTGGATAACAGCGAGGAGGTAATTCATTGTATACAAACTCATATAGCACAACCAGTGGAATATTTTATTAATGACGTTCTGCTGACTAGTTTGGTTTGTTCACTAGTACTTTCACCTTCAACAGACAAAGTGAAGTCTGGTGAAGGTGACATAGTGAATCTGCCGAGGTTGACTAATAGAATCTTCCCCTACCTTGAGGGTGTGATAAAGAAATCTCCTACCTGAGGGGTGATGTTTTTTAGTTGTTTAACCGGAGGCTTTGTCGAAAATACACCCCGAGGTTTGGATATTTCTGTTGCACCCTCAAGGTAGGTAGGGGATGATTATTTTTCTCCCATCCTATTATTTCAGTCACAACTCCACTGACAGTAGTCTGCCATGTTTGTAAACAAAAACACAACCGGGGTATGAATATTGCCATTCACCTTTGATGACGTCACAATTACCGATGACACATTTTAATGACATCATAATTGAACACGTGCTAATCAGCACGAGGCTGTCTCAGCCTCGAGGGTGACAAGCTGATCTTCGCGGAAAAAACGGGAGACACACCTGTGAAGGGTGAGAGAAATACTAGCCATTGAAATGTTTCACACAAATATTTCACCGGTTGTGCTATATGCACCTCAAGACAGTTCATACTTACCAACTTGAAGACAAATTTTGATGGTATTTCAGTTTGATAATGAATGTGGGATTGAACTTGCAAAGTTGATATATTCTTTCATAATAAAGAGGTAAAGAGGAGGCAAGAAATAGGAGGATGACATTTGAAAAACAGGGCAGTTATCAGATCAATTAAAACACTATGTTTACCATCGACAGTGGATAAAACAAAACAGTGACTCTAGTACTTCAAACATTCACACATAGGTTTGCATATAAAAGCCAACAGGACCTGGACAACACAGTTGTATCACAGAAGCTGTTAAAGTATAATCGGTCTGTATATATTGAGTTACAATCCATTACAACCTGTTGTTGTGATAGGTCAACATATATAACTCAAAATGCACTTTTACAAGAACTCTTAATGTTGATTATTATTTTCTTTTCATATTATTCCCGACAAGTGATTGGCCAGGAGTGTATCACGTGTCCACCGATAAAACCTATATTGACTTGGAGCGGTTGATTGTTGTTGAAAGACTGGGTGTTTCTATTTTAGAATTATGACGTGTCTCCAAACAATGCACCGTCCGTCCCACTTCCAAAACTTTTTTGTTGTGTTTTTTTTTTCAGATTGCTTACATGACTGTTTTGTAAAATAATAAAACAGTTGTAGCCTTTAACTTCTCTGTGTCCTCGGTCAATATATCTTTTCTCAGGTTGATAAATCCAGGTATCGACCTCGGCTAAAGGCTATAATTGAATAATATAATATCATCAAATTCTGCTGCCATTTATACTTCTATTGATTCAATGATATATATGCGTGCTATAAACCAACCCTTTAGCAGTAGTCATATTTAACTCATCGACCCCTGAAGACACATTTGAACCCTTCCAATTCAAAGGTTGGAATAGTTCATTATCAAATTTCAGGGGTGAATGAGCTAAGTACTCTCTCTTAAATATTGTACTACATGAAGTTTCTGAATATTGTTTTTAATGCATATATTGAAAGATAATTCATCAATGTGCAAATCTGTTAAAATCTGTTAAATTCAGTTAATCCCTAAAACTTGAGTGTGTTAAAATATGGTTAGTATTTCTACAGTATACATGTACCTTCCAATATAGACAACTGTGTGTTAATTTGGATTATTGGAAGACTTTTTCTGATAAATATAATCCCACTTTTGTGATAGAGTGAAAAGGACCGTTTAACTCTGACACCTATACTATATGTAAATATTGTCAAAATAATACTACATAATAAATGCAAATTAAAAAAGGGCCAAAAAAGTGCCTGGAATGTATCTGGAAAAGTAGAACCTTAATTATAATGATGAACTGGAAATCTGACAATCACAACAAATGTGAATAATCAGAGATTTATATATATATTTTATACAGATATTTACACAAGTGGGTTATATAGGGCCTATTGTTTTCAGGACGCCTACATTTTCCAAGTGGCTGCATGATCCATCCTACTAATTTCAACATTTGTCAACATACATACAACATATATAAAATGTACACCATCAGAAACATACTTATAAGATACATAGAATTGACATCATCACATACAACATATATTATGGCACATAATTCGTTGTGGCTCTGTATCTTAACATTGCCCTTCCCTGCTATAAACATGCTTATTCCCTCAAACACCTACACCCTTAAATACTTATTCCCTAACACACTTATTCCCTCAAACACCTACACCCTTAAACACTTATTCCCTAACATGCTTATTTCCTCAAACACCTACACTCTCAAAAACTCCTGTACACACCTACACTCTCAAACACTTACACCCTTAAACACTTACACCCTTAAACATTTACACCCTCAAACACTTACACCCTTAAACACCTACACCCTCAAACACCTACACCCTCAAACACTTACACCCTATAACATACACCCTCAAACACCTTAAACACCCACACCCTCAAACACCTACACCCTTAAACATTTACACCCTCAAACACCTACATCCTCAAACACCTACACCCTCAAACACCTCGCTACTACCTTACACAAACACATGTACACACAATGTCACTCACGACCACTACTCACTGATACAATCACACTTACCCTTAACCAGTTTGATTAGAAGCAATATCACTGAAATATTTTGAATATATATTCCCTTTAATTACCAAAGTAAACATGTTTCCATATGATCCAATCCATCCAATTATGTTTGAGGTTACCTATATCAGTGTTTCCTCCAGAATAAGTATTCCATGTATACTAATTGTCCGTCTATTTTTTCATCTTTGTTAATTATACTTTCTTCCATATAACTTACATATCATTCACACTTAAACAGTCCACTAGATGGCGCTCTCCCCCATGCGTCCATCATGGGTGTCAATATTCTGACTGATGGTAGGCATGTTGGTTGGTGGCAGGTATCCCTGGCGGGACCGGTGATCTGTGTGGCCCCTCGAGTGGTTATTGAGCATACGTGCTGCCACAGCTTTGTTCCGCTCCACTGACTGCTCCACAATATTATAATTGTCATTGGCCGTGAAAGCAGGGTTATCATAATTGTACCTGTCTTTAGACAACAAATTTGCCCTATCAGCACTACTACTGCCCTGTCTGTTGTCGGGGTAACCCCTGCCTTGGCTGTTGTCAGGGTAACCCCTGCCCTGCCTGTTGTCAGGGTAACCATGCTGTCCATTGTCAGCATACCCCCTAATTTGTTCATTGGTAGGGTAATCTCTGCCGTGTCTATTTTCAGTATGATTTTTGGTCTGTAAAAGTCTGCCATATTTTCTGTCCTCAAATCCTCCTGTATCATTCTCGCCTTCGTAGCCACTATCTGCCGCGGAAGAACCAGACCGACCACTCCCCTGGTAATAGTGGTTAGCACCACTAGGGGGCGAACTTGTATCCTCATAGACATGGTCTGTGCGTACATTGGTAAGGTTTGTGTACTGACTGCCACCAGTTTGATAACGTTGATGTGCGGCAGCATTGGAGTTCCACTGAGGTTCCTCCTGCTCATCAATTGGTGCATGTAACTCTACGGACACCTCGTAGTTCTTGGCAGCTCCAGCACCACGACTAGAACGTCCCCTGATACGCCCCCTTTGAGGGGCAGCTTGTTGGCTATTTGACACAGACGCAGCCTGACTACCTTCAAATTCGAAAGCATACTCTTCTTCCGCATCCTCTTCGTTTTCTTCTTCCTCTACTTGTTCAAATGACCAGCCGGGTAAGATCTGCCTTAATTCTCCTACAACACAACAAAAAAGCATCCAGCTGAACTTACTCTATATATCTGATCACAACAAGATGAATGTAAACTAAGTGTTGAGAATTTGAAATCATCAGGAACAAGATAGTTTGAGTACAATCAGCATATATACATGTAATTATTGACACAGAATATTTCATACTGAGAAAATATTTGCTTTACCCCAGGATAAAAATTAAGGAGAGAATATCATTTCTCATTTCATAAAATTTTAGTTGAAAAGTAAACTTGTGCATGGTAAGGTGTAACCTGTACATACCATCATGTGTGACCTGTATGTGGGGTGAGCAGTCAAGTGTGACCTGTATGTGGAGTGGGAAGTCAAGTGTGACTGGTATGTGGGTAAGAGCAGTCAAGTATGACCTGTATGTGGGGTGGGAAGTCAAGTGTGACCTGTTTGTGGGTTGGGCATAAGTGTGACTGGTATGTGGGGTGGGAAGACAAGTGTGACCTGTTTGTGGGTTGGGCATAAATGTGACTGGTATGTGGGGTTGGCAGTCAGACGTGACCTGTTTGTGAGGTGGGCAGTCGAGTGTGACTGGTATGTGAGGTGGGCTGTCAAGTGTGAATGGCATGTGGGGTGGGCAGTCAAGTGTGACCTCTATGTGGGGTGGGCAGTCAAGTGTGACTTGTTTGTTGGGAGGGCAGTCAAGTGTGACCGGTATGTGAGGTGGGCAGTCAAGTGTGAATGCATGTGTGGTGGGCAGTCAATTGTGACCTGTATGTGGGGTGGGCAGTCAATTGTGACCTGTTTATGGGGTGGGCAGTCAAGTGTGACCGGTATGTGAGGTGGACAGTCAAGTGTGAATGCATGTGGGGTGGGCAGTCAAGTGTGACCTGTTTGTGGGGAGGGCAGTCAAGTGTGACCGGTATGTGAGGTGGACAGTCAAGTGTGACTGGTAGGTGTGGTGGACAGTCAAGTGTAGCATGTATGTGGGGTTGGCAGTCAAGTGTGACCTGTTTGTGGGGAGGGCAGTCGAGTGTGACCGGTATGTGAGGTTGGCAGTCAAGTGTGAATGCATGTGTGGTGGGCAGTCACATGTGACCTGTATGTGGGGTGGGCAGTCAAGTGTGACCTGTTTGTGGGGTGGCCAGTCAAGTGTGACCTGTATGTGGGTTGGGCAGTCAAGTGTGAAGTGTAATGTATGTTTGATATATGGTAAAATGTGACCTGTGTGTGTGTGACGTACAGTCAAGTATGACCTATATTTGTTACTTACGATCAGGAACGACCTGTATTTTTGGTGACTGTCGTTCATATGCTGCGTCCCTAAGTGTCCGCACCATTATATCACTGTCATTGATGTCGTCAAAATCAAACTGCATGTGCTGAGCCTACAACAGGAGATTTCACTGTTACCATGAGTCACAACTGTATGAAACAGTTTTCATATGAATGATAAATCCAGAGTTAGTGCTGCATTAGGAAAATGGGGTCTTTTTCGAATAAAACAGGATTCCTTTGTACAGTTAATATATATATATATATATAAATTGATCTTTAAAAAAAATGACGGGTCCTAATATTGAATGTTTAAATAATGCTTCAAATTAGGATATGGGGAGGGTGTAAAGCAAACCATACAGATCAAACTATATTTTTTTACACTTTGCGTTAACAAGAATTAAATAAGGTAAAAACCAATTTTACAAATAGGATAGTAATTTCAGAGCGTTGACTTTCAAATGTTTACATGAAAGTTTCGCTGTGAATTCACATTTTTGTGCATACAATGGTACAATGATTTAAATAACAAATTATTTGATATAACACTGCAAGATTAGCACAACCAGTAAAATAAGGGCTAACATTGGTTAATAAGCCCACTCCCCACTTTTGACCCACCTATTACCACAGCCCCCTTAACTGGCTTCTCTGTAATACAGAACAGTAAAATGAACAATACAACCAACTACATTTCAACTGTATCAGCAGATCATGAGAGTTTGTGACAGAAATAGTTATGAAACAGCAAACCTTGAAAGAAAGTACAGAATATACCTATAAATAGTTGATAATATCATAGTATATCTGAAAGTAGCGCTATTGAATGTTTCACAATTCAAGGTCATGACCTTGTAACACCTTAGGCCTCCTATTCATGCACTGACCTTGACCTCCCACTTCATGCCCTGATGGAAGGAGTCTCCGCTGCCCCTGATGATGAGGTCGCCATGGTGACAGTCAATGTACTGGTATGACTTGGCAGCCTCGTTAGCCATTGCCGAGTAGTAAAGGCGCTTTACAACATTACTCAGCATAAACTGTTAAGTACAAACAGCATCAAACGTAAATAATATTAATAATCTATATTTAACGTCGTATACATTGTCAACAACAAAACATATGACGTCACCAAGGGTACAAATGGTGTTTTCGTGGTGGGGGGGGGGGGGGGGGGAACCAATGCCATCGGAGGGATAACAACTAACCCTATCAGACATCACTCTCTTTTCCGTCACCGTTGGGGATCAAACCAAAGTTCTTTGGAGTGCGAGTGGTCTGAAGCTCACGCTTGATAGCACACAGTAGTAATGACTGCACACGCTAGAGACTAAGGCTACCAATTCGGCACCCACACAGCTGGTGAATATGTGACTTTATACAGTTGACCTCACAGTACAGTATTTAGAAAAAGTCATTATGTACAACAGCATTTTCTGTTTTTAAAATACACATGTAAAACAATAATTCTGGAAAAGATGAAACTCTCATTTACCACAAAAATACTATATGTAGGGAAATTTTCACTGCAGTTTTTTAAACTTTCACCTTATTCTGTAATTAAGGCGAATAAATTAAAACAGCAAATATCAGTACACAACATAATTAATTAACATAATAATGAAATGTAATTGGTGAAATGAACACTGTGCGTATACAGATTTTACCCCCGTAGGGCAAAATGAAAATGTTTAGGTATACGAGTACCAATGTATATACTTGTGAGAGATTTCAACTGTGTTATTACCACTTTTTTAAATCTAATTGTTAGTGATGGGCAATCGGTTTGAAATCATAATCGATAATTGGTTTGTAATCGGATGTAGTAAACCGATCGATGATTAATTGCATAATCGGTTTATATTTTTTTTGGGACTGAATACCCATATAAAGCGAGAACACTACCATAACATCATGATCAATAGACAGAGTTGTTCACTATACACTAGGTTACGTTCTTTTATGATGAATGGATATCAAGCAACTTTTATGCATTTTTAACAATCATATATAGTATATATCATAACAATATATGACTTTCAAAGCATACTTTACATGGAAGACATTTAAATACTTTGATTTCAATGATGATCGAACCGATTATATTGATGATGGAATTTGTAATCGATAATCGGAATCGGAAATGCAAACCGATCGATTTTCGATTATAATCAATCATCAGCCCATCACTACTTATTATAGATAAAAGAACAAGAGTACCGCGGGGCAGAACAATATATGCCCATTGAATGCCATATAGTGTTATATACTTTCTTACATTGAAATAAGATTTGCATCATTCAAATAGTGGTTAGCTGACATGCTAAAAAATGTAGGAGAAAATATCTGGATAAAAAAAATCAAATCCTGAAATGAACAAAGGGCAATAACTTTTGGAAAAATTGTTGAATCAAAATTCTTTAAAGGGAGACACAACTTCATATCGTGATTATAAAGCATACCAAGTTTTAAAGAGATCTGTTGAAAAATGTAGGAGGAGATTGCCGGACAAAAATCAAATACTGAAATAAACAAAGGACAATAACTTTTGCAATTTTTTTCGAATTAAAACTCTTTTAAGGGAGACACAACTTCATATCATGATTATAAAGTATACCAAGTTTTAAAGAGATCTGTTGAAAAATGTAGGAGGAGATAGCCAGACAAAAATCAAATACTGAAATGAACAAAGCGCAATAACTTTTGGAAAAATTGTTGAATCAAACTTCTTTTAAGGGAGACACAACTTCATATCATGATTATAATGTATACCAAGTGTCAAAGAGATCTGTTGAAAAATGTAGGAGGAGATTGCCGGACAAAATCAAATACTGAAATAAACAAAGGGCAATAAATTTTGCAAAAATTGTTGAATCAAAATTCTTTTAAGGGAGACACAACATCATAGCATGATTATGATGTATACCAAGTGTCAAAGAGATTGGTCGAAAAATGTAGGAGGAGATTGCCGGACAAACAAAAGTTTACGCCGGACGGATAACGCTATGCCATAATACTCCCGTCAAATTTAACGGACGTATAAAAATGAAAAGGTGTTGAAATGGAATTTAGTAGAATAGGAATATAGAGAATAGATAGAGCATCATTATAGTTAATGAGATGTCTGTGAACTTTTAACAATTTACTATCCAGTACATTGTAATTTTGTTAGGATATTTATTTCTCAGTCACCTGATAATATAATAACAATTTGAGGTTCTTATATATACCACTTTATCACAACCTATAGCTAGTTTGTAGGTCATCTCAAAGTTGTTCACAGATTATTATCTGTGGTTAAAGGGCATTTGAAACCAGCCAATATTTTTCTCAACTCCCTTGGGAGCTAGCATACACAATTTCCATTAACAAATGGGTTTACTGACAGGAATGAAAACATAAGTATATTGACTATTGACAAGGTAGAGTGATGAATTGAGTTGGTCTTGACAAACATTCAGCATGCAATTCATTAATATTGTAGAGGCGCCACATAGGCCAAGTGGTTAAGCCTAAGGCATCTGACATTCTGCTACTACTAGCCCTCCACCATTGGGTTCGGGTTCAAGGCTTAAGTGGGGCAGTCGCCAGGTACTGGCTGTAGGTTGATGTTTTTTCTCCGGAAACTCTGACTTTCCTTCACCATCAAAACCTGGCATGTCCATTAATGACTATAGCTGTTTATAGGACGTAAAACACAAACAAACCATACCTAATCATAGATTTTGTCTCTAGACCAACTAAATTCAACATATCATGAAATCAACAAAAGCAAGAATCAATACTTAAACCGATAGAATCGATCATCTCAATGAATTCTAAAAGGTTTTTGCCAGACAAGTAGTTAACTGTGTGATGAATCCCTAACCCCTTCGTACACAAACAAGTCAGATTCCCCAGTCCCTTTAATTACCCACCTCTAGGATGAACGGCTCGCCCCGTTTCATGAGCTTCTTGGCGGTGTCGATGCCCATCATGATGCGTCCCATGATCTTAGGATTGTTCTGGTTCAACATAATCACCCATTTTTCTGTCGACACACATCATACATATATATAAAATATGACACTGAGGCTTCTATATCATTAATGAAAGTCAAAATCACATGCTCCTTAACCAGTAATAATTTGTTTTTTGTTGATCTGAAGATTATTTTTAACTTAGCTTTTGTGATTCATATAAACGGCAATTAAGTGTCTGTGGTCAAATTTGACCTCAAACTTGGATGGTAGATGAAAGATTTCAATATGAATTTGTTGTCATTTACCTTTACGAACACGAAAGAAGCAATTAAGCTTCTGTATTCCAGTTCCTGCATTTATGACTGGTTGAAGCACCAGGGGACGCTTTAGTAGTTCTGATTTAAACATGTCCAACTCGTTTACGGTTCCCATGCGATAAATTCTAAAAGCAAAATTATTACATAATTAAACATAAATATGAAATTATTACAAATTATGAATGTATATAATTTAGATAAATGATTTTTGTTAAGTTAAATGCAGCATTATGCAGTATAGAAATTATTTTCACTCAGCCAGTGAACTGTGAAAATTGGACTGAATATATATGTGAATTATGTGCAGTTTATATGAAGTGACTCGTCTGACAAAATATTTCTCGACATCTTATTTAATTAACTTTGAAGAAATATATGAAACAAAATTATGTAACTGCTTTGGGTAAACAATGTATCATAATCAAGTTGATAAAGCCTGGAGGGATTCATGAAAATGAACTGAAGGTTTACCGTTTCCGGGGGATCACGTTGACCATGGCAGCAGCAGATTCTATACACTTGCCATCCTTTCCTGGTTTCACAAGGCCATACATTACATAACCGTGGGAAACAGCATCCTCCTCCTTGGACACCACCAAGGCAGGAGATTGCCTCTCCATATCCTCAGCTGTAGTTTTGTACCTGTCAACCTGGATAAAAAACTCAAGGTTTAAGTCATCAAATAGCAAATGACACTCATCAAGACATCATACATAGCTATTTAAATGTATATACACATGCAGCTTCATCATATTTGCCAACCCTTTGAAATTTCCAGGAGGGAGATTATGTGTGCTCAAAATGAAAAACATAAATAAAATGTGTGTATATATACCCCATACGTATACGGACACAATGACCTTTCTGTTTTAATTTTTCTTTCAGATGAAATCATTAAATCTCGGAATATTACATAGGAATAGTTCTGCAAATTCACTGGTTGGTAATATTGAGTTTCAGGGTCCTAAATTGGGACGACTCTCCCTCCTAAATAGGTAGAGTTGGCAAGTATGCTATATACATATATGTATACATATAATTTAAAGATTTTAAATGAAAAAACTAAAATATAATATGATGCAATATTACTGTGCTAATTCATTACGCTTCAGTAATTTGTGTGACTCAGATATTTGAGTCCTCGGCTTGCGCTTTTCTTGTTGGGCATGTATATAATGGCTTAAGAATGATCAGAAAATCAATTTAGCCATGGAAAGGTTTTGTTCAATAGTCATAAAGGCAGGCTACAATTTGTTGGCATACCTCTAAATATTTGTTATAGCATATATATATATATATATATATATGTGTGTGACTGTCTAGTGTTATTGAAATTAATCTAAACAAGAAGTAATCTGTAATACATTTTCTCTCTTGTTTTAATTTGTTTTTTAATATTGTGTCTTGTATCTTTGTATCTTGTATATGCTCTAAAATCCCAATTGATGGGTGGTAAGCTGTACCAGGGCCATGCACTTCCTTTGTGTTGATACAGGATAATATATATAGGTTGACCCAATTTGAAAAAAAAGTGCCCAAGAATTAATTAAAAAGTTACTCAAGTTCCAATATGTACAATCAATATGCATATATACAGGGAAAAGTGGTTAAATATGAAAAGAAATTAGTTCTGAATGCTATTTATGACAGGCCCAATAATATTTAGAAAAACTGAAATTATTATAGTAGTCCTTACTTATCTTTGGAACTTGAATTCACTGGTAGTGCATACATGTATGTATACCCACGGAATTAGAATATTTATCTAAGTCCGTGGTATACCGTACAGTTGGGAATGTTTGATATTGGCATAATATTTTTTAAAAAACCAGTAGAACCAAGCCTTGAAATGTTTTTGATTTAGTTGTTTGTATTGTCTATAAAAGTCAAAAATTACATTTTAAAGTATGCAATACAGATCAAGGTCTGTCGATCATTATATCATTTATGATCAGAGGAAGTTTCTGACACAGGTGCTCGGGTTCTGGAATATATGTGATATATAATCGCACCCACTAGATATCGCACCCCCTTATAATATGATTTATTAGTATAAGCAGAGACGTATAATACATTATACGTCTCTGGTATAAGGGGGTGCGATTATATATCACATATATTCCAGAACCCGAGCACCTGTGGTTCCTGATGATGAAGAAAGATCGTAACTGACAAACATTGTCCTTTGTTGGACATGAAAGACACTAGAGAAGGTTTGGTGCACTGGTGTATATGTATTGTCAATAACCGGTCCTTATATGTTTTCACACTGATTCATGTCAAAAAAAATATGACATAGATATGTATCATAATCATTTCCGGTTCTAAAAATAGATTTTTCAAATATTTTTTGCCTGTGATTCAAATAAAACGTATGTCGATTGATTTTCACAATTGTCCTTGTATATCTAAAGAAACTCATGAAATAAGTCCAATTTCTGACTACCAGCATTTGTAAATACAAAGATAACAAACGAATCGTAAACAGTGATAAATATATACCTATATCTTAGTCAAATGCCTACAACATTCCGCACGTTTTTACCTGAAAATCCTGACTCCTCGAAGTTCGAATGTAATCGGTTTACTTACCACAAAACGAAGTATTTCCTTTGTAATGGGTGATTCTACTTGAAAGTCTGTCTCAAATCCGAAGTTTACACGCTGTGGTCAATCCGTATGCTGTTTACGTCCACCATTGAACAGATATACCTGTCGTATTGTCACAACTGGACAGGTAAAAGTGATCGGGCAGTTTCTTACCCGGGTAATTTTGTATACCGGAACAGAATGCGGTTCGCTAATAATGACAGGTCCGGCTAAATATATTTTCTGTGTTGGTCCACGGACTTAAAATCTAATCTAATTCCATGGTGGTCATTCCATTTTAAAGTGTATTGCAGAAATATCTCTAAATATCCAGTTATAGACTTTCTAACATGTTACAGCAAGATCAATTTTAATTCAATTCTTATATAACCCAAACTGGGTTTTTTAAATTAAGATTAACCACGGAATTATCAAAGTCCATGGATTAACTATACATTCATAGTAAATTTCACTTCAAATCATCGTTGTGAGGTCATTTCCATGTCAACAGATTCTGATAAAAGATATTATTTTGTGACAAAACAGAAAACACGACATAATTTAAACACTTTAAATTCAGCAAAGATGAAAATACCTCAATTGCAAAACCTGTTCAAAATTTCAAAGCAAATGTAGCCGGTTTGGCTGGATGTGAACATCTTTCTCTCTCTATCACTATTTTCTGCTCCGACTCTACCTGTTTTACTATCCTTTACTTCGTTTCTCTCTCCGTCATTTCTTCCTCACTATTTTCTATTTCAACATAAACAAATAATTTATGTATATTGTGTAAATTGCCTTATTAAGTTATTGTTTATATTCATGTATTTGGAGAAAAGGACTGTGATAAGTTGTGAAAACTTGTGTCCAATTATTTATTTGCAATAAAATATGTTTAAATCAAAACAAACTTCTTAATTTCTGGGACCCACTGATCTTTACGTCTATGGCTTGATATGTCTCTGAAATGCGACTAGTTAATTGGCGACGTAAATATTATAATTGTGACAAAATTTGATAAACCAGAATCGTTTAATAAATTGCTTCACGAAAATCGTATACTTAAAAATCTAATTTACTGCAAACATTTAATTTATGCGATTTTTTCACCTTTTGGAATTCATTAATTAATGGCAACTGTACGTGGTACCGCTAACTCTGGTTTCTCAACGCTGGAGCCTTTTGTAGACGAAATATCGAACGGTTGAATACCATCGTCAAGTTTTACTTCAAAGAATAAAAGTAAACAAAACAAGTTTAAACCGCATTTGATACAGCTTGCACTTACTTGAAGTCGTATGCCAAACTTAAAACAAAAATCCTAAAAGAATCAGTGATTATTTAACCGTCAAAATGCGATTTATAGCTCGAAACATATATAGGAGAGCTTTGTTGATAATTATAGATCGATTTTGCGTTTGTTTAAATAAAAGAACTCAACATTTTGGAAATTATTGATTGCAGTCTTAGATAACCATAGGAATGTGTATTCTGATATTTAAAGACCTCCCGACCTGCCCCGGACCTGAGAATTCGTTACAGCTATATTTGGACCTAATCTAAGGTGTTCAGAGTAATGTTTTATGGGTTTAGATCGATTTTCGGTAAAAATGACACCCCAATGATTATCCTAAAACATGTAAAATTACTCTGAACACCTTAGTTTAGGTCCAAATATAGCTGTAACGAATTATCAGGTCCCTGTGCTCCCGCCCAGCTCGACAACAAGTTAAGGAAACTTGTGTACATGTAGATAGAGACTGTATCAAAGGTAAAGGTATTCGTAGCTATGAGGTGTACATAAAAAAGTTTGTTTACGGCCAGAGACACGTATACTGGCTTTATACGTGTCTGCTTTAGTGCACAATTTAGTACAAAAGGCCCCCTGGGCGACAGTCCCTAGACCTGAATGAGAGTGGAGACGACGGGCGGCCCTAATTCACCTGAGTTTAACAACTTAACCTGTGACGGATTCGACTTCACACGATCCATGCATTAAATTCCCGACCTGGTGACTGATAAAAAATAGCGATAAAGCAGCGGAGACCTAATTAAACAGATCAGCATGGCTTCGGCTTAAGTTATCAAAATAACATCCCTGTCAATTGTAACTGATAGTGTTAACGTTACTAAGCCCAGAAGGGAGATACGATCCTGACTAATGGCTTTTACGGCTTTAGATCAATCAATAGGCTTTTAAACACATATGTTTAAAAGCAATGATTGCTATTTTTTTACCTTAAACCCTTCGGCATATTAAACGTATGGATTTTTCCGTACCAATTAATTATAGCTCAACCACTCTAAGTTGATATTCACACTGATTACTATGGACTGTGATGATCAATCTTATAAAAATCATTTGTAACATGGCTTCGTATAGTACCTATTAAGTGATTGGATTTCGATCTGATTTAAAGTTGAATATGTATTGTTTTTGGTTGCTATTCTTTACTGATACTGTCTTATAATTGCTTTCCAGTACTGAACTGTAATGTTTTTTTACTGCTGTTTACACTTAAGGATGTACACCTCTGAGAAGTCAAAAAATTCCCGTAATAAACTTTTTTTCTTATATTGATTTTTGGAAAAAGGAGATAATGGCATAGTAGAAAATGCAAAAAAATATATATGTCCGTGTGTTCGTTTTTGCGCTATGATCGGTCAAAGATACCAATTTAACACAATAGGTGATTTTAGGTGAATTTTCGGGTTTTGACCATTTGCAGAACAAATTCATACAATTTCTTCCAAGTTTGTTACCAGATATGTATGAATGTTTGTAGAATTGATAAAAATATTATTTTCTTTTAAATTTTGGAAGTAAAATTTCTTAATCTTATTCATTTTACTCAGAAATGCGATTTTAGTTACCCCTACCCCTTATTTTTTAATGTAAAATTACCCATTTTTCACCATTTTTTGCAGATTAAACGCTTGATATAAAAAAAATCCTGTATTAAACTTTTTTTAGTATTCAATGAATCAAAAGAAAATTAGTTTCTCTTTCTAAAACAGCCACAAAAATGGGGGGTCGGTGTGCTACTTTTTTTGTCCCATTATTATTTGTGTTATTTTTCACCTTTTTCGGGGTCAATAATCAAAAGTGCTTCAGTTACCCTAATATGTAAAACAAAATACCAATAATATATAGCTTTCCACTTTTTTGTAAATTATTTTAATCATATTGAACATTATAAAGTTGTACAGCAAAATTGAACCTGCTACATTTAACAATGGTGACACAATGACAATTTAAGTGATCAATCTAGTGTCAAAAAAGGTGAAATTTTGCTTTTTGTAAAGCGCAAGAAATTCACATAAATACACTTTTTCAAAATGGCCGCCAAATTGGTCATTTTTTTCCAATTCTTGTAAAAAAAATTCTACACACAACAGACATCTAGTTTTTTGACATGTTTTTCAGATGTGTGTTTGCTATTAAACCTATCATAATTTGTTAAATATTACAAAAACCCGTTGCACCAGATCAAAACGAGACTTGAACGTGACTGAAACCTCAGAAGAGTACATCCTTAAGTGCGAGTCTATTTTTAGCTATTGTTTACACTGAAGTGTGGTTCTATTTGTTTTAACTGCTTACACTGAACAGCGATTCTACTTTTAGTTACTGTTTACACTGAAGTGTGGTTCTATATATTTGAGCCACTGTTTACACTGAAGTGTGGTTCTATTTTAGCCACTGTTTACACTGAAGTGTGGTTCTATTTTAGCCACTGTTTACACTGAAGTATGGTTCTATTTTTAGCCAGTGTTTACACTGAAGTGTGATTCTATTTTAGCCACTGTTTACACTGAAGTGTGGTTCTATTTTTAGCCACTGTTTACACTGAATTGTGGTTCTATTTAGCTACTCTTTACACTGAAATGTGATTTTATTTAGCTACTCTTTACACTTAAGTGTGGTTTTATTTAGCTACTCTTTACACTTAAGTGTGGTTTTATTTCAGATCCTCTTACACGGAACTGTGACTCTGAACAGTGGTTCCATTTTAGCTATTGTTTACACTTAAGCGTTGTTCTATATATAGTTTCAGTTTACACTGAAGTGCGATTCAAATTTTAGCTGTTTACACAGAACAGTGACTCTATTTTTAGCCAGTTAACGCCGAAGTCTGTGATTCTATTTTTTTTGTAAACACTAAAGTGTCGTTTTATTTTAGTTACTACTTACACTGAAGTATGGTTCTAAATTTAGTTACTGCTTACACTAAAGCGTGATTCTATATTTAGTTACTGCTTACACTGAAGTATGGTTCTAAATTTAGTTACTGCTTACACTAAAGCGTGATTCTATATTAGGTACTGCTTCCACTAAAGCATGGTTCTATATTTAGTCACTACTTACACTAAAGCGTGATTCTATATTTAGTTACTGCTTCCACTGAAGTATGGTTCTTTATTTAGTTACTTCTTACACTGAAATGTGGTTCTTTATTTAGTTACAGCTTACACTAAAGTGTCGTCTATATTTAGTTACTGCTTACACTAAAGCGTGGTTCTATATTTAGTCACTACTTACACTAAAGCGTGATTCTATATTTAGTTACTGCTTATACTGAAGTATGGGTCTTTATTTAGTTACTTCTTACACTGAAATATGGTTCTTTATTTAGTTACAGCTTACACTAAAGTGTGGTCTATATTTAGTTACTGCTTACACTAAAGCGTGGTTCTATATTCAGTTACTACTTACACTAAAGCGTGATTCTATATTTAGTTACTGCTTATACTGAAGTATGGTTCTTTATTTAGTTACTTCTTACACTGAAATATGGTTCTTTATTTAGTTACTGCTTACACTAAAGCATGGTTCTATATTTAGTTACTGCCTACACTGAAGTATGGTTCTATATTTAGTTACTGCTTACACTGAGGTATGGTTCTATATTTAGTTACTGCTTACACTGAAGTATGGTTCTATATTTAGTTACTGCTTACACTGAAGCATGGTTCTATATTTGGTTACTGCTTACACTGAAGCATGGTTCTATTTTCAGTTACAGCTTATACTGATGTATGGTTCTATATTGTGATGATTTATGTGACCGTGTAATGAGAAACGTTGGTAGTATGCTAGCCCCTATAGCTGTAGGGTCGTTGAAAAATGACTATTAGTAAACTTCATGCAATTTTGTCCTTGTTGTGTTACACACAATAAAAGTATATTAAAAAGAATATTCAATTCATTTTTCAGATTTTTATAAAATATCAACTTTAATTTTAGACAAACAACCACCAAGGGAGGTAACTCTTATAGAAGTCAAAATTTTCTTGTGGTTCAAATTGTTTCAATGTGTTAATGGCATCCAATCCTGCAAAACTTTAAAGGAAAAACAAAACAACTGGATCATCAATTACAAAACAGATTGTGTAATTTATTAATTCCTCTCTGTACACCTATACATGACAACAGAACTTACAGTGACGGTACAGGACATGAAACTGATGTAGTGTCTGTACCAAATTCTGCATTCAAACTCGATAGCACTATTATACAGGTTCCACTCATTTTCCCTACGATGAAATGCAATATAAATATTACTTTTGAGATCTATATCTGCATTAAGGACAGGTTCAGTGCTAAGACCTCAAGTTTTATCTTTATGCTTCAGTTTATATGAAGCCGTTGTGATCTCCAGCATAGTTTTAATTAATTGTACTACTTACTAGAAGAGACTTGAATAGTTTGCTCTGTTTCACACCATCTACATCACTTAAACACACATCTCACACCCTATACACACACATTCTGTTTCCTCAACATCTCTTTCACTGGTTCTGCTCTTTTAAGTTGTTCATATAATTTAAGAAAGAAATATTGTTCTTTTACTTAAGTTCATAATAAATCTCACAACATTCGTTGTATTCACATTCAAAAATTTACCTCTTACCCAACTTCTCAAAAGCAAATGCATCCTTCTTTAATGAAGTGGGAATAGTTTATTGAGAATTCTTTTGAAGTTTACCAGATATGCTTGAATGTAATTTCACATGTATTAACCAAGTCATACCAAGCATTCTGGCTTGTCAATAATTTATGGCCCAAGATCTACAGAAGAGAACATATTTTCTTACTGCCGTATTTTAAATATCTGTGTGCAGATTCTCGCAACCCAACAATTTGTCTGCTCCTGCAGAAAGTGGCCCCCCTTTCAGATGATTTACTGATCCTGAGATTGATGAAGTCCATGAGATTATGGAATCCTTTCACAGAGCACATATTCAGTCACGTCTTTTCTGCAACCATTGAACCACCACATGTCAAAAAATAAGTCTATCCTATTGGCTCACTTCCATTGCTTTTTGATGGACATGTTCTTCTCCGAATCCTTCTGCATTACCTGTGGGACAAAATGAAGCATTTCTCAGGTGTGTAAACGATACAACATACCGCACAATGTGATAACTATATGACAGACTTTCAGGCAGGGGTGTACAACTCCACTAGCATTTTATATCGGGGCTGGTAATATTTAATACTAACTGCACACTAAGAAAACGTATACGGTGCCAATGGACTAGTACTCAAAACTTAAAATGCTCGCCCCATTGGTGCCTGTTATATATTAAATATCATGCCAAAAGTACTGATCTGGACACTTTCTATTCATAGATTAATGCTACTGTGTGTTAGGAAAGCAAAATATCCTGGTAATGAACTTTGAAGTACTTAAATACAAAATGAGATTAGTTTCAAAATTTGCTGTCAGTAAAAAATGAGTGTAATGTAAACTGCCTTCACTTTTCCTTGCACTCTTACTTCTCTAATGTATATATATACCTTTGCAACAGCAAGTTCAAAGTCTTCTTGTGTAACATGAACCCTTCTCTCCCTTAGAGCGTACATTCCTGCCTCCGTACAAACACCCTGTAACAGAATAAGATGTTATAATAAAAATAACTAATACCCCTCCTCCACCATGAAAATATCAAAATGAAAAACAGGTGACCTAAAAATGCAAATATTTAAAAAGAACACACTGTAAAGATGTTATTAGAATCTGCCTAAGAAAGAGGCTAGGGCAACCATTTTGAATCCCGAACCTTAAAAGCTGTTGTTTAAAATAAAGTATACACAAAGTATCAACAAAGTTGGCACAAAAGAAATCAAGTTATATGTCTCAGTCAATTACAGGCAATGGTGACCATCTTAAATCTCGAACCTTACCAGTTGGTCATCATTTGACGTAAAGATAATGTGTAGGATAAATGATATGACTAGGAGGGCAATACTCTGACAATGTAAACTGTTCATAAACAACACGATCCCCTACCTTCACTTCTGCTCCAGAAGCACCTGGCATCATCTCGGCTATTTTCCTCAAATTGATACCTCGGGTTAAGTTCATCTTTCTAGAGTGGATTTTGAGGATGTCAAGTCTTGCCTTAAAAAAAAAGAAGATGATAATGGAACATTAAATTTATGAATCTGTATCACTGATATGTACAACCAGTACAATTCCAGAGACAAACTGGTCGAGTAGATGTTGACTAGAACCTACAAGCAGTAAGGAATCACTTCAGTGCAGTCATTCCTTTATCTTAACACCAAGGGTACATTCGCGTATCCGGTTGAAACGGCTGAACCTGATAAGGAAACGACAGGCACAGATCTGGACCGAGGCTGATCTCAGGAAAATTTGGCACGTGTAGATTGAGGGGTCCAGACGTACCTGACCGAAACTAAAATGCTGACTATTGCCAGTTTGCGTTATTTCTTTCTAAAACAATGTCAAGTCACATGTAGTTTTTAAGATACGTTATGTAATTCAGTGGACGGATGAAAGAAGGTCATAATATTCTTGAAACACTGTTTTTTATTCTCCGAAACTGTTATAGAATGGTCCAAGTGCATACCTTTGTACCGTTTCAACCAGGATACGAGAATGTAGCCAAAATTCTTCCTCTTTTAAGGCTGTTTACCCAGTATATGTTATAAATATTGAATTTGATACAATCGTCTATGTTCTGGGGAGTAGACTAGATGGTTGCCATTGGTAATGATGCTGATACTTACTTCTTCGTTTGGTGGAGGGAATTCAATTTTTCGGTCTATTCTTCCTGGTCGTAATAAAGCAGAATCTAAAATGTCTATTCTGTTGGTGGCCATGATAACCTGATAAAGTGAATGAAACACAATGGTGTAGCTGTGAGGAAGACATGGTATGGTTAGTATAAACACTTACTGGAACTGGTAACAATATACACTGAGCCATGACACTTTTACTGTCTGTCAACTATACAAGACTTATAATTTGGAAAGAAACTTTGGAAAATCAAATTGTAGAAGTGTTGGTCCTAGTGTTGGTCTTTTTCAAAGTGATCAGCAAATGGAAACGTAAATCATCTTGAAAAGAATATCATCCAAATTAGTTCTTAACTGATGCATCCTCTTCATATATTAATTAGTTAATTTGTTGGTATAAAGTCTCAATAGGACAGTTTTTAATTTATTCAAAATGAAATAACAGCAATTGCACAGGTATTTTCTCCAACTCTATAATTCACCTTAATATTCTGTTTGGGTTCAAATCCGTCCAACTGGTTCAGTAACTCCAACATTGTCCTCTGTACCTCACTGTCACCTGTAGTAGATGTAATCCATTAATAGACCTCATATATACAAAGTGGAGATACCCACAACAAACATATTTGAGAACTAACCAAGCTGACTGAAACAATGTGATTTCACTAAAATGTCATGTCAAGGGGTCAATCTAAAGCCACAATTTTTTGTTAATTGTGAATTGTACACAGATGTCCTCCCACACATACACAACAGATTGAAATTTATGTGACCTACCTCCAGAGCCTCCCTCGAGTCGCGAGGAACCGATGGAATCAATTTCATCCATAAAAATAATTGATGGCGCATGTTCCCTGCAGAGAAGCAACAAGAATTACGTTAAACAGTTTCATACCGTTTAATACAATATTTTCAAAAAGTGTATTTAAAACTTTGATAAATTTCATACAGTTAAATACAATATTCTCAAAAAGTGTATTTAAAACTTTGATATATTAACATTTTACCTCCCCCAGCAAATTTAGGGGTTTGGGTGTGGGAGGGGTATTTTAAACAAGGGTGTCATCTGTTTACCAATATATCTATATACACACACTTGTCATAGATACCTCTCCAAAAGTGCAATAGGTAGATTTCTATGAAATATTTGCATACACTTATCATAAGCAATGTATACATATATGTAGTTCAATTTTCATTTTGACATGTTAATTACCAAGTTATGCCCCTTGCTGAAAGACATTCTGTACTACTACTCCTAGTAAAGAACAGCATGGACTTCAATGAAACTTTGTGTATTCTATAAGGGTGCAGGATGGTTGTGACATGTGTATTCCTTTTGTCATTGTGAAAGGTATTAGTACTTTCCTACCAAAATTAGTCCCAAGGTGACAAGATGACAAAATTAGTCCCAAGGTGACAAGATGACAAAATTAGTCCCAAGGTGACAAGATGACAAAATTAGTCCCAAGGTGACAAGATGACAAAATTAGTCCCAAGGTGACAAGATGACAAAATTAGTCCCAAGGTGACAAGATGACAAAATTAGTCCCAAGGTGACAAGATGACAAAATTAGTCCCAAGGTGACAAGATGACAAAATTAGTCCCAAGGTGACAAGATGACAGAGGTTTTCATTGAGATGCTGTTAATTACAGGTCTAGTGAATGAAGACACACTGATCTTACACAAGAAAAAAGCTATGTGGCAGAGGAGTTTATTGATGATGAGGCCACTCAAGTGCCACTTAAAGTAACTGACAGTCACACCCTACCAAGTCACATAAATTTGACAATGTGCTAACCAGGGATGTTTTGGGGACAGCACCAAGTATACGAGAAGATAGCAGAGAAAAGGAAACAAAGAGGTTCCATTCCACTTGTTGCAACTGAAGCTGGAGACGAGATGTGCTCTCTTTAATGCCGCTGAAAGAACACGAAAGTTAGCCCTGATTTCACTGGTGCCCCCACATTAGTTGCCTTAAACGATCTTTCTTTTCTAACATCACTGAATCTGCAGTAGAAGTTCCCTTGTACCGCCATCTTTATTAATACACCTACCTGGCCATCACAAACAATTCTCGGACCATTCTGGAACCCTCGCCAATAAACTTCTGTACAAGCTCTGAACCAGACACTCGGATGAATGTACACTCAGTGTGGTGGGCCACGGCACGGGCTAACAGCGTCTTCCCTGTTCCCGGAGGACCATACAGAAGCACACCCTGTGGGACACAACAATAATTCCATTCCATATAAAACAAACCAAAGTCAAAGATGTCAGCCAAACAACAAATCACACATTTATCTAATTGATTTTTGAGGGCTAATGAAAACTTCTCTGTAATATATAATACATCTCTTTGAAATACGACTTTTTAGCAAAAGGGTACATATTTACAATATTTATCCATACATAAAATCGTTTCAATTGCACTGTAAGGACACATATTGAATTATTCAGAGGTATTACACCCCCCCAGACTTAACTTTGTAAACTTACCTTGGGCTGAGCGATACCCAGGGCCTCGAACAGCTCTGGATGTTTAACTGGCAGTTCAATGACTTCTTTGATTTCCTTGATCTGCTTATCCAGACCTCCCACCATCTCGTATGTGGAGTCTGGTACCTTCTCCACCATCATAAGACTCACCAGAGGATCAACCTGGTAAAATAAATAAATAAAAAAAATGAAAATTAAATTTTTCTACGGTGACAGGTAATATTTTTTGAACAAATAAAGGACAAGAAAATTGTCAATTGTGATGTCATAATAGAGCATAACTTGTCTCCACACTTTTTGGTGGGAATGGCCTCTCTGTTCCCGGTAGCCAAAGTATATTAACACACATAATAAAAACATGTTCTTGGTGTCTTAATGATCAACAGTTTTGTGTCAGTTGTGGGCTGAATGTTTTCTTTCATTTTTTTATTTACTTATGCTTTGTGCTTGTGAAAATATTTTACCCCCAGCTCAATATCTTTGTATATAATCATTTATCCTCAGGCTCACCAGCTTAGGATCTTGTGGAATGTATGATTATCATTTCCCCGCTATGTATTGTGTATAAGTTACCTTGTTAGGGAGGATTTTGTGGAGTGTATAACTGTCATTTCTCAGGGCTACACGGCAGTTCGGCGTGATGTCATTAATATCTATGTTTTTGTCCAAATCCACAACAAATTTCCCTTCTGGATGTACCTGTAAACAATGTTTGATTAAGGTTAGATATACTGTTCATCAGACAAAGTAAAAAATAAATCAAAATTACTACTGTTAAAACACAATATTGATGTGTTAACTCATTCACCCCTGAAGACACATTTGAACTCTTCCAAATCAAAGGTTGGAATAGTTCATTATGAAACTTCAGGGGTGAATGAGTTAAAGTTACAATGAACAGAGCCTAAACTCTCTGTATTCTTATTTCATGTAATTTGTCTAAACCAACCATTCGGGTCAATGACAAAGTGCCAAGTTAATGTCTCTATATGTTTCACTAACGAAATACTTCTACACTCATTACAAGATAACTATGACAAATGTGTGAACTATTTTAAATAGTAGGTTGTATGATATTTACCTTGACAAGTGCATGGTACTGACCTTTACCAGTACACAGGCAAATTTTGTTCACATGAATTTCACATGAAACAAGCTTATGCATGAAATTCACATGAATTTTTTAATGTAAATTTCACATAAAATTTTTGATGTGAATTTCATGTAATCAAAATTCACATGAAACTCACATGAATTTCACATGAAAAAATTCATGCGAATTCAATTCACGTGAGTTTCATGTGAAATGAGTTTCACGTGAAATTCATGTGAACAAAATTTGCCTGTGTATATATCAGATATTGACCTTGTACACTATTGACCTATATGAGTGTACGACTTTGACAATTGTTGGATACTGACCTTGACCAGAACCTTTTTCTTGTCCATAGCCTTGACGACCTCTCCCACATAAGATCCCTGCTCCTGTAGCAACTGCAGTTCCTCTCGTAACATCCGCACTGCACAAAATTCACAGATCAGTACAATCAAAAAAATTTGAAAAAAATATATTCAGGTAGGTTTAAACTTCTGACATAACATTCTATAAAATAAGACATTTATTTAACAACATATTCTCATCAGAAAACAGAACGATGAAAATTTTGTTGTCTATTGATCATGAACACAATACATCTCCAGCACACACACACACATAGGGAGATATTAGCCAGGTGGCATATGACTAGTAGTTAGCGCCTGATAAGGCAGCTCCTGCGAATTCCTCAAAAAATTGTATATCCTAATTGTATTAATTGTATATCTATGTACTGTGAAGCGCTTTAGAGTGGCTTATGTTAGTTAGAAAGGGCGCTATATCAAATGCTGTATATTATTATTATTATTATTATCTATAATTGTTTGCGAATTCCATTCAACATTTTTCATCATTATGTCAATGAAACATTTATGGTCCAATATTGCCCATAAAGATAGGACTGATTTAATGATAATGAATCAAAACATACCTTTTGCATTGAGTTCATTTCTTTGAGCTGCTAGACGTCTTAAATTTTGTGTTTTTTCTGTCACCACAAGCTGTAATAAGACAATACAAACATGTAACATTTGTACCAGATATGTTATGTGAACCTGGATTTTTCCCTTGCTATAAAGCATATCAGAGAACAATTGACATTTAATACTGCAATAAGTGATGGCTACGGTTGGCTTTTAAATTTTTGGTTCCCAGTTTCATGATTGTGTAAATGGTCTGAAGTTTTATCCATCATCTATGCTAATTTGAATACTTCATCACCGATCTTTACTACATGTACAAGACATCTAGTTTAAACTCCTAGTTGAGATTTCTGCTATTTCAAATGATTACCAGTTTGTAAAAATCTAGTCACGATCAAAATATGTATTCTTGTCTTAACAAATTTTAGTTTAAATGACTCAAACATGTCTATGCAGTGTTTTGTTGTTTAATTGCGTTTTGTAACCTTGCACTTGCACTGTTCAAAGAGTCATCAACATTAATCAGAACAAATTCACTATTTACCTCCAGCTCCTCATTTTTGCTGATGTAATACTGTTTTATTCCTTCGTGGTTGACAGACTTGTCATCCACATCCATCTTCTACAATATACAAATACTTTGTAGTTTTAAAAAACAAAATCTGTTGACAAGTCTGTTGTAACAAATGGTGACCACTGCCCTCCCTGTGGTGACAGAGCTAGATAGTGGTGGTCGGGGCGAGTATTTTAAAAGAGGTAGTAGTGTAGCAATTTTAATTGTAAAAATTATTGAAATCAACATCTATTTTTTGCGGAATTTCCCTTCAGCTCATGAAGCTGGTTCAATGACAGTGGAAGTACATTACTCCTTCCCATTACACAGACCTTCTGACATTATGAGCGACATATAGTGCCACCTCTCACAGTCCCAACTGCACTGTGGTTTTCCCTTTGTTTTTTCCCTCCCCTTAACTTTTGTTTAGATATATCTGTAGAACAGTTGGGCCAGAACACTTCTGTCAACCAGGGAGCTCAGCTGATAAGGATGATTGTTTAGCATTCTGAAATTCAGGGTTTGAATCCGAGTCTAGTTCCTCTTATTTTAAAAACTGTTGTCATTTGTATCATTTCTGATATATTAAGTCCTGCAAGGTATGGTTTTCTTTTAAGTAATGATTTATCAAAGCTATAGTCAAGCCAGAAAACTAGGAACATCCGAACAGCATTAAAGAACATCTCAGGAGTGGTCCATACAAGTTTACCATTTAGAAGGCATAAAGTGGGCAGGTCTTAAAAAATAAAGACTATTGAATCTGGGCTGTGTTGTCTTAAATCTTGTTTTTGCAAGTACAAGTTGTTTCACCCTAATACATATACTTTTAAAATGTAAGTGACTTTGTGTTCCGCGAACAGATGGGGTTACTGGATACATAAATCATATACTAACTAATTAACAGAATAAAAATTCTGTCAGATGTCAGGTACTGGAGCACTGGCAAACTTTCCTATATAGTCAAATCTGACTTCACATATCAGTACATGTATAACAACAAGACATGTTTCACCTTGTTGACACCTCGATGAACACTTTAACATTGTGACCATATATGACCCATTCGTGCTATATGTGTTAAGGCAGAGACATATTTTATTATTGTAATATATAATATGACTCTGCTAAAGGTAACAGGAGAGGAATTAAATGCAAGGCCAGAGCAGTCCCATTTCCAAGCATACACACAGATTTTGAAACAAGGGTTTGTAAAAGGCAGCACTTTCACAAGAGAGGAAATAATGCACGGTCTGACCAGGATATAGAACCTAATCTCCGAACTCTAGACGGACGCTCTAACCAACTGACAGTAGGCCTTAGCTTGTTGAATTAGAATAAATCGCCAGATCCGTCTAATTCTATTATACTGTACATGTACAGCTATGACACATTCATTCCATAAATGAGATCGATTAGCCGTATTTGTAAAAAAAAAATCTAGCTCCGTCAAAAAAACCTACTGGGAGATAATAATGAAACAAAATAGCAATCAAAAGATTGTTTCACAATAAAACTTGGACATGACCAAGCATTTTCACATGAAATTATGTGTTGGGAAATGCAATCGTTTTCGTAAACTATCAATTGTTAAAACATCCGTTATTAGCTATAAGTATAAACAAATTCTGCTCTTAGCGACTGCAATCAAAAGTAATATTACATAGATGGGAATGTCACGAAAATTACTGCTTTAAAACACCGGTCAGAAAACGCGTTTACCTGATCAGCAGCCATTTTGTAATTTTGTACGATGTTCCTCGTCGTCTTGAAGCTTGGAATCTTCATTAAGGGGTTCTTTTCGTGAAAACGTTTGGGGGACTATTTATTCGTATTAAAAGTCACAAAAATGAAACGATATTCAGAATTTCGCTGATTTATTCAGATTTTCGTTCGTAGCCTTGTAAATGTTCATACGTATTTATCATATTCTTTGATAAAGTCTTAAAAATTAAAACGTTTTCTTCTTACTTTAAATACTAATAGTTTTATTTGTTTTCCGGTATATTTTTACATTCTGTAATATTTAATTACCACCATTTCTGTGACGTTTTTCACACAGGCAGTGACATTCGATAGCCCTCAGTGATGTGGATTCTGTGGCTGTGTTGTTGAAAAGGTCACTTCTCGGGAGAGGCACAAAGAACGAAATGCTGGACTGTTGTGTCGTTATTTTTCTTAACATAGTAAACACTTAATACGTTAGTGGTGCCTTGAATGAGTGAAACCAGGACAGAGAGGATAAAGAGGAACCCTTGCTTCATAAGTAGTTTTCAGATATTTTAAGTGTTTCCTTAAAAATAAGTACAAACTCTGCCACTATGACTACCAGCATATTCAAGCTGTCAGCGTTGCGTTCATTTTTACCAGTGCTGGTTGGTATGTGTATGGGTATTGCACTAAACATGATGGTCGCTCCTTTTTTTGATGAAATGTGTGACACATCCAAGGCAGCAAACCCACAGAATGTCATTGAGCTCCACCATAGAAACAACAATGTGCGAATCAAGAAAGAAACTGTTGACAGTCCTAAAAAGTCTGAAGCACCAGTTAAGCTGGATCCAACAGTACCGCAGACATTCAGCATGCCTGGTATAGGAAATCCGAAAAAATTTGTACGACCTCGATTTGCCTCGACAGAGCTTGGTATTAAGGAGAAACTCTTTGTGGCCGTGTTGACATCTCCAAATACAATCAACTCATTCGGTTTAGCAGTGAATAAAACACTTTCCCATTATGTTACAAAAACAATATTTTTCACTGCCACAAAAACAGGAATTTCGCCCCCTGGTATGCCAGTGGTGGGCTTCATGCAGCAACATGGAACATTTTTACCTATACATGTACTGAAGTATATCCGAGATCATTATGCCAACAGTTTCGATTATTACATGTTCATTACAGACAGAACGTATTTACGAGCAGAGAAAATGTTTGAGCTGGTTAGTCACATCAGTGTGAGCCAAGACGTCTATATCGGGCCAGCAGAAATTGATGACAATGGTCAGAAACATTGCTCCATCGAAGGAGGGTTGATAATCTCACAGGTATTATAATCAATATGATAGCATGACAACCAGAATAGGATGTACAATGTAGTAACAGTTATCAGAAAGTAAGCCTTGATGGATTGAAAGTCCATCAGAGTTCTGTTTATACTTTGATACTTAGCAGTACTTTGAGACTATTACAAATTCAGTACTGCTAAGGAGAATGATATGTTACTTGTTGTTTCCATATGATTATATTATAATGTCTTTGAAAAAAGTCAAATATATATGCATTTCTGTTCTAGTTTAAGACTATATATATCAGTGTTCCCCCCTTAGTCCATAGTACATACAGCAGATCTTTTATTCTACTCCGACACTCTATGGTTTCTTTAGGACTGGAACATATAGATTATCAGAGTGGAATGAGAGATCTAGTTTTAATCAGATTATTAGAGTGGAATGAGAGATCTAGTTTTAATCAGATTATCAGAGTGGAATGACAGATCTAGTTTTAATTAGATTATCAGAGTGGAATGACAGATCTAATTTTAATTAGATTGGTTTAAGATAGGTTCGGTTGAATTTTAACCAATATTTTACAACTGGTAAAGTTTAATATGTAAAGTTATTTTTTCAGTATCAAAAGTTGTGAACTTTTCATTAATACCACCAACGAAATCCGTTACATAAAAGAAGTACCAAAATAATAATTGATTAAAAAAACGCTTCATTTATCATGAACCCGTCATAGGAAGTCATCATAATAAAGCAAACATTTTTTACCGAGCAACTTTCACCTGTCATACTACGTATATGATATCATTGTCTTTAGTTAACTAAATTGTATTGACTGATGTTGAAGTCTGGTCCAGTATATCCACACATTGAAATCATATGGCCCAGTGTCCTTGGTACAGCATACAACTCCTTGAGATGGGGATTTTTAAGCATGTCAAATTTCAATGAGGATCAGATTGTCTCATTTTTTATTTTTTCTAATTTTTACGTTTTTATCAAAAAGTTTTATTTTTTTAGCTCAAAACAGAAACTACGGTAACGCCTTTCTTGAAATTGAAATTTCGAGAAATTTAAGAATCCATCTTTAATACAGATTTTTAGTAAAGATAAGAGCCATGGCCATCTATCTTTAACATAGAAAGTAAAGAGTTCATATTTAACAAATTCTTCACGTAAATCTACTGATGTAAAAATACCTCTCTATTACACTGACAATCTGAAAACATTAATACATTTATGTATCAATATTCAGTTGTTTTTTTGTTTATTTTCAGTCTGTCATTGAAAAAGCATTCACACAACTTGACTGGTGTATGATGAACAGCCATGCTTCGAGTGCCAGTATCACCTTGGGGCGATGCATCCACCACACCACTGCCCTACAGTGTACAGATCATGGAGGGGTAATGACTCTCATTCACAAATTGATACGTCTTTTCAGTTTTATATCACAGTTCTCTTTAATTATGAATTCCAACACTATGCCCATTAGAAATTTAAAACGTAATTGCTTGATTCTCAAACCCGATCATATTGCATTTGAATGTACTGCATTACTTATACTGTAATGTCATGATTATTACTATAGATGACCTTGCATGTGACATACAGAAATAAATTGGTCGCATCAGATGTGAAATGTATATTTATTAACCCTTACACCCTATGTAACTTTAGTCAACTCTACCATTCATTGATCTGGATGAGTCCACTATGGTCCACAGTGGTGAAAGGGTTAACTGGTACACCCATACAATTCTGTTTTCCAAGTTTGTTTTGTACTCTGGATGATCAATAACTATATATAGCTACCATACTGAGGAAAATTTCAAGATACAATGTACTAACTTCATTGTTACTCACCACAACATTTTAAATAATAATTCATTTTTTAAACTTGTCATTTATGAACGTCTACAGGACAAAACTTACAAGTATTACCACGTGGTGGATTTTGACTTTGATGATGACATACCTGTGTTGAGAAATGATGCTCGGTTCAACACCTCCCTGTCTGTCTATCCCATGCCAGACGACATCTCACACTACAAGATTCACAGGTAATGACTAGAGCAACACCGCCGTGTCTGTCTATCCCATGCCAGACGACATCTCACACTACAAGATTCACAGGTAATGACTAGAGCAACACCGCCGTGTCTGTCTATCCCATGCCAGACGACATCCCACAATACAAGATTCACAGGTAATGACTATAACAACACCTCCCCGTCTGTCTATCCCATGCCAGACGACATCTCACACTACAAGATTCACAGGTAATGACTTGAGCAACACCTCCCTGTCTGTCTATCCCATGCCAGATGACATCTCACATTACAGGATTCACAGGTAATGACTATAACAACACCTCCCTGTCTGTCTATCCCATGCCAGACGACATCTCACACTACAAGATTCACAGGTAATGACTATAACAACACCTCCCCGTCTGTCTATCCCATGCCAGACGACATCTCACATTACAGGATTCACAGGTAATAACTTGAGCAACACCTCCCTGTCTGTCTATCCCATGCCAGACGACATCTCACATTACAAGATTCACAGGTAATGACTATAGCAACACTCACTGTCTTTTGCTGGAGCAACTATCAATGATTTTATGTTCTGATTTGCATCACATGCAAAGCCTTAAAAGGTCTCAATTATAACTGAAGGAAGTAATTCCGTCTTTGCGTATTGCAGAGTTATCTTCTCTTGGGAGCAGGTATTGATTGTTATGTCACTTGTTTGTGAGAGTAACGACATAAATTTTTGAGAAAACGACGTAATTTTTTCACACAAACCAATGACGTAACAATCAATACCTACTCCCAAGAGAAGATAACTCTGCAATATGCAAAGACGGAATACAAACTTGTAGTGATCTTATAAAAAGACTTTGTCAATAAAGGTCCACAAATGATTCATGTGTTTGTGTTTACAGACCTTAAAAAGTAGGGTATACAGGTTGGTGATATTTTCCGTTTTGCTGTATCATTTTTACATTTATATATTTATTGCTTCATATTTGTATTTGCAAAATAGGATTGCCATTTCTTGAAAGTTCAAACATTTTGTTTATCCACACATAAAATCAAATAATTTAAGGTTGGTGGATGTTTTATAACATTGACTGGAGATAGTCATCCTCAATATCCAGGGGTTACGCTTACTTTTGCTCTCTACATCCCTGGAATATGTCATGGCAAAGTTGAAGGCACAAAGATAGCTGTTTGATTGGTCTCGGGTAAAAAAAACTGACCAATCGCTAGGCTGATACCCGTCCTTTGAAGATTACAAAGGAGAGACACTTTATTCTTTTGATGTACATCATAGGATCAAACTAGTCTTCTTGTCTCATCAACAAGGTGGCACACATCGATTGAGCCTTCAATTTTTCCATGACATATTCCAGGGGTGTAGAGAGCGAACGTGAGCATAACCCCTGGAAATCGAGGATGCGAGATAGGTGGAACTTCAGCTTCAATGAAGTTGACTGGAGATGCTCTTACTGAAGTCCTTTACAAGGATAACACCGTCTTAAGAAGTATATATATGCCAAGTAGAAAAAATGTAATAAACAGGAAAATTATACCTTCTTTTACACTGGTGTTTGAAAAAAAATGGACAAAATCTTGCATGCATCTTCAGTTATAAACTGCTGAATACAGCCAATGTTCCTGATCTGGTAGTAACAGGATTTGGCAATAGCGTTCACTTGTTTCTCCATGTTCAGAAAACTGTCAAAGTATACCCCTAGGTTTTTAACAGCTGGAACAGTCTCAATAGTTCAGGCACCAACCTTGAGTTGGAGAGCCATTGTTTGTTGACACTTTGGGGAAAAGACAATTAGTTCTGTCTTTTCCTCATTAAGTTTAAGCATGTTGGCGTTCATCCAGATACTGATATCTGTCAGACAAGCTTCCAGCCTTTCTGAGACTGTATTCCAACTGTCCTGTGGTTTTATGACCATGTAAATTTGTGTGTCATCGGCATAGCAATGATAGCGAAGGCTATGGCGACGACAAATCTCTCCAATCGGTTTGGAGTACATACAATATTTTCGTGGTCCTAGCATAGTGCGGTATCAGTCACTCCATAAGAGTATTCCAGACGTTAATGTATGAATGTATTGAAACCCAGACATTTCTTACCCCTAACAAATTAGGATGTCATTTTTTATTGTGATTATGTAGCCAGTCATTATCTATGAATAATGAAATAATTGGTTAAATCAAGGATTTAAACAGAGTTTTACAATTAGTGTTTTGTTTTTCAGATATTTTTGCCAACTGGAGTTAAACCTGACCAAACAGGAGATAGTGAAAGCCAAGGAGAACATGGTGTACCTGAGTGAATTTGGACCCGGAGGACGGGATTCCCTCACATGGCCTCTCGGTAAGTTCTATGTATTTCTGGTGTATTTTGCTTTTATAAACTGATTATATATATGTTATTGCTGGAATTTAGTTATTTAGATATATGATCATTCACACAAATGTTTGTTTTTGATAATGGATATAACAACGTAATCATGAATGAAGAGGAAAATTCTTTCAGGTAAACATTTAATCCAATCAACAATGAAACAGTCATGTACAAGGATATACATATATGTTATGATTTCCAATCATTTAACACTACTATTTTTTTCACAAAAAAGTTGTAAATTTTAAAACATCTCCATAATAATAACACTAATGAAACAAATGTGCACATTATCTTTTATTTCATTGAATTCAAAGTATACCTACAGTATATTCTTTCAATCCAAGATTGTTGCATTCAAAATGTAGACCTTTCAGTGAGTCAGTGAAAACAAACACTCTCACTTCTGTGCACTGTCTCTGGCAATTCAGAAGTACTAGGCTTGATAATGTAAACAACCTTTTCATGTTGGTCTTACTCGCAATAGATGTCAGTAAACTGTAGAGTAAAGGTCAAGACTTAATTGTGTGTTGATGAAAGAGGACAAATTATTACAGATTAAAGCATACTGGGGTACATTCGCGTATCCGTTTGAACCTGTAAAGAAAATGACAGGTACAGATCTGGACCGAGGCTGACCTCAGGAAAATTTGGCACGTGTAGATTGAGGGGTCCAGACGTACCTAGCCGAAACTGAAATGCTGACTATTGCCAGTTTGCGTTATTTCTTTCTTAAACAATGTAAAGTCACATGTAGTTTTTAAGATACGTTTTGTAATTCAGTGGGCGCGTGAGAGAAGGGCATACTATTCTTGATACATTGTTTTTTATTCCCCAAAACTGTGCATTTTTAGCTTTGCTTGTAGATCTTTCCAAGTGTGATTGGTTCAAAATTTCTTGGCCCTCGCACCGTTTCAACCGTGATACACGATTGTAGCCCTGGTGTTTATCGTAGTTTTAATAGATAAAATGACATGTAGTATATTATCTTTTTACAGGAGTTTCGGAAGCTATTCAGCCAAAGAGCCGTTTTGACATTCTGCGATGGTCCTATTTCACGGATAAAGATATCTACTTTGATGATGACTTCACCAATGTCAGGAGACTGATGGGTAGCTAGACACTTTTTATGTCCGTTTTCAGATATAATAATCACTAGAATTAGGAAGTAAGGAAGCACCTGTTAAATTTAAGCAAGCCAATGCAGCTAGTCAGACCAAGTCAACATCTACTGAACCATACGGCCATTTCATCCACTTAACAGTCATCAGTGGAACTAACTGTCTACCTTAGAAATCCATGTCTAGAGCATTCTAAAATAAAATACAACAAAATCAAAACAATACCTGAAAATCCTTTATAGAGTTACAAATTTACAATTTTTGTCTTGCCGCCACGAAGTGGAAGCAAGGCTAAGGTGTTGCTTTTCTGGCGACGGCGTCAACATTAAGTTTTTGCGTTAAAGTTGGTTTCCCGGAAAGTATAAGTGCTACACCAATCAAACTTGGACCATAGATGCATCTTCTGTAGTACATCTCAACCCATGCATCAAATGGTGGATGCGGCCTACCGATCATGGTCCATTGACTTAGTCAGCATCTCCATCAACATTATTTTTTTGTGTTTAAGTTAGTTTCCCTGATATGTGCATTGATGGTCAAAGCGGGGCACAGGCGAGACATATCAATTCAAATGGCTTGTGATTACAAAAGATAATATATTTTTAAACTAGTGTTTCATGTATTATAACAGTACCAGAATAGATATCAGCTACTAATTATGACCAACCTCGTCGACCGATACCTGGTAGTTCTCCAGCTTAGTCAACCAGCTTGTGATGTAAAATCATCACTAAAATTACTAAGGAAGCACCTACTTATATATCATAGCAAGACAATGCAGAATGCCAGACAGACATTCGCCTATTTAGGATTCATATATGGGACTGAATAATGAAAATCCAGACAGTCCTATAGCAAATGAGTCGGCAACCTTATGACGTGAAAAGGAACCACTGTCAATACGAAGTAAAATGTATACGTTTGGAATCCAGCACATGTAAAACAGGTTTTTTGTGATTAGTGTCATCATCTGGAAATGAAGTTGTCTGTTAATGTTGGAGTATGATAAGGAATATATGGTAAACAAATAACTAGTTCAATACGTGTAGAAACTGACAAGGTCACAGAAAATGTCGACAAATAACTTTTTTTTATTTTTTGAGAACTGGCAATGTTACAGGTAATGTAAATAATGACTGGTTCTGACTTTGAAGGATCTAACAAGGTCACAGATAATAAAGTAAATAAAGAACTTGATCTGTCATTGTAGGGTCTGATTAAATCACAAATTACGTAAATGACTGGTCCCGTTCTTTAAGATTCTGACACAGTCACAATGTAAAGAAATAATTGCTTGTGTCGTTCCAGGAGCTGACAAAGAGGATGTGGCAGAGATTACACAGACGGCGTTTGACAAGTTGAACAAGGAGAATGGCCGCAAGTATCGGTCCTTCCAGCTCGTTAATGGCTACAGAAGGTTCGAGCCTGCTCGTGGCCTTGAATACACAGTGGACTTAGAGGTGTATACCAACAACAGAAAAGAGAGTGAAATGAAACGGGTGCATCTCCTACGACCACTCAATAAGGTGGAACTCGTACCGATGCCCTACGTCACAGAAAACACAAAGGTCAATCTCATAGTGCCAGTGTTCTATGAGGATCAAGATGACTTCGCAATTTTTATGGACAGTTTCTCCAAAGCTGTTTTGGACAACAGTGATAATACCATGCTGTATATTTTGCTTGTTTACAATTCTCACAATTTGAAAAGTGGACATGACACATTTGCTGTTGTCAAGACTACGATCAATTATTATGTGAACAAACAGACTGAACAGGAGGAAAGGATCAGGTGGTCAGCGATGGACTCTAATTCAACGGTTTTAACTGATTTTGAAATTATAGACCGGGTTGTCCAGGACTTCCCCTCGACCGCTTTACTTGCCATCGGGGCTGTAGGCATGGAGCTAGAACAGGACTACATAAATCGTGTGCGTATGAATACAATACAAGGCTGGCAGGTATTTTTCCCAATTTCTTACTGGCAATACAAACAAAACCTTGCCTATGAACAAGAGCCTTACCCAAACACTGTAGAATTTGGTCAGAAATATGGTCATTTTGATGTCAATTCTTACGAACATAGTTCATTTTATGTGTCTGATTATTTGACGGGAAGAAAGCTCCTCTCTCAAATGGAAATCAAGCAAGGTCAGCTTTTAGATATGTTTTTGAAAAATCCTAGAATCCATGTTTTCAGAGCAACCGACCCCGCTCTGAGGAATCGTTGGAAAAGTATCGCCTGTCCTTCCAATCTCCATGGTGACCGATACTCGAAGTGTCTACAGCGGAGGTCTGAGGGGTTGGCCAGTCGTGCCCAACTTGCCAAGTTGATATTTGAACAACAAGAAAAGGATACTCATGTTCCTGGAACAGCTGCATCACATCTACCTTTAGACTAAACTGATGGAGTGTGCATTTTCTACTGAGACTGAACTGATGGAGTGTGCATTTTCTACTGAGACTGAACTGATGTGGTGTGCATTTTCTACTGAGGCTGAACTGATGGAGTGTGCATTTTCTACTGAGATTGAACTGATGAATTGTGAATTTTTCAACGAGATTGAAGTGATGCAGTATGGGTTCAATTTTAACGGATATAGTGTGAAATCACTTAAGGATGTATGCTGCCTTACTGTGACATTAATCTCCTTTCAGAAGATCTAGAGTCCAACATTTTTCATCCATTGTTAAGCTAATTATTGTGAACTTGGAAAGTAATACCAGAATGTTTGTGTTGATAACATTCAGGTAAATCTGCATTTACCATGTAGATATTCAAATAATTCTACATGTTATAAAAAAACAAAAAAACAAAGGGAGGTAATCTTAGCAGGGTTGACAGTAAGGTAGTAAAAATGGATCTGCTGGCATGCTCACCAGACATTGTGGGAATTATCTTCTGACATTGAACAGATTTTATAGCCCACTCCAATGTATTGTATTGATCTATTTTTTATACAATTTATGTTATTGTTATTTTTCATAAAATGCTGAAAATTTGAAAATATTTTCACTGCATGTTTAAAATTTTCATATTGTTTATCTTTAAACAAAATATTCTACAGAACTAAAAATCAAATAGACAATTTTGGAAATTATAGATAATCATGATACACATATATCTTCAAACTGGAGATATTCAGCAGGTGTGTTTTTACATTCTGTATATTGTACAGGTGTTCCAATCTCCTGCCCAAACATTCCTCTTTTCTGAAGTTAAATCACAGAGCTGCATACATTTCATCATCCTTATTCCAGATAATATTTCAAATGATATAATTTCCTCTCATTTCCCTGTGTGTAAGATAGAGCTGTCAAGGGTAAGAAAGGGGTGTAGGACATTTCATTCTCCCACACCTATGGGTAAGATAGGGGAATCTCAACCCTCGGGGAAAGATTCTTAAGTTGCCAAACACTCGGCAAAGCCTCGTAACATAAGAATGTTCCCCCTCGGGTTGAGATTCCCCTATCTCACCCCAAAGGGGGTGAATGATTCTATTAATCTTACACCCCATTTCACATGATGTGACGTCACAATGGCTCAACAATGACGTAACGTCACAAATTTGGAACTCTCCGATGCTGCAATGGGGAAAAGGCGACGTGATGAAATTAAAACCGTTTTCGATACAGTTACTTTACACGTTAGAAAGACAGAACATTGTACGTTTTGTTAATCTTTCATTTTAACTTGTTCTGGCATTATTTTGGGCTATTGCATAATTAATATATTGGGGAAATAGGAAGCACCTGTATCAATATGTGATGGATGACTGAGTACATACCAGATTAGCCAACCATTCCTTATTCATTATAGTGTTAAAGCAGTTCTAATATTTGGTGGGTGGGGTCTCAGAAAAAGTGCCTCTCACGTCTTCCATCAGATTACCTCTAGAACAGACCTTGTATGTTGTTAACGAAATCCCTACCATCAGTTAAGTTGACCTCATTTATTTAAGAAATGATTGCCCTCCCCTAGTGATGCTTCAGACTAAATTTGGTTGAAATCCTCTTTGGCGTTTAGGAGGAGATAGGTTTTAAAGAAAAAGTTGACAACGGACGACAGACGCTGCGCCATGAACATCAGTGTCTTATCTAAACTGTCACCTTAACTTTTAAACACAAACTTTGTCATAAGTGATGATCTTCCTGATATTCATATTAAAGATACTTTATGTATTGTTCTTCAGTAAAAGTACAGAAGTTAAATAAAATACATTAAGAAACCCAGTAATTAACGCATTCACCCCTGAAGTTTCATAATGAACTATTCCAATCTTTGAATTGGAGGAGTTCAAATATGTCTTCAGGGGTGAATGAGGTAAGTGAATGGAGCCACTCAACCGGATCTTCCTCTGTTATTAGAGGACAAAAATTATTCCACTGTGAAATTTTGTACTTTGTTTAACTTTACCATGACTTCCATATACATGATATATATGTATACTTAGATGTAGCCTTTCCTTCACTGTATAGCGTAGGAAATGTTTTAATGCATTTGTGCCAAATACATGTATATATATATATGCTTTGTTTTATATATCTACACAAATTGTGATCAATTAAAAAAATGACCAGCTGTTCTGGGTCACTGCCAGTACTGTTCACAAAAGTTACATATATATATGCTTCATCATCAGCTGGCTTGTTGATATTCAAAATATTTGTAAGTTTTCATGCAAAAAATGACCATTTTTATATTTCTAATGACAGCCATCTTTTTATAACTATTATCATTGCCATTTGCCATGTATAAGGGGAACGTTGATGTTCGTTTTTGTATCAGTTATTTATACTGTTTAGATGCTTCTTACCTTTTGTATGGTTGGGTAAAAAAAATCAAACTTATGAACTTATATAATTAAGATAACCAAATGTATACACAATTTGGCAAACAATAGAAGAAAAAAAAAATGCGAACAAACTTTTCGGAAAAAAAAAGATAATGATTTCTTTTAAGGTACAGTGAATTAGCACGTTTTCAGGACATGACCGTTTTGTAGACACACATGGATGTTTATTGTAATCTGAGGCCATTTCCCTGAGGCCAGATACACATTAAGTGGGAGCTAATCAAGAAGAAGGGTTTGATAACATTTTATAAGAGAAACATGTAATCATTGTTTATATTTACTAGTGTATACTAGTGTATACTTACTTTTTATTCTTTGGAGGTTTTCTCCATATCATGGATTTGACCTGTTACCGTCTGGCAAACTCAACAAAGATATAACATTACTGCTGTTTTGTGGGATACATGTGGTAATATATTCTACACCAGGAATGTTATATAACATTACCACATGTATCCTACAAAACACACCAGTAATGTTATATAACATTACCACATGTATCCTACAAAACACACCAGAAATGTTATATAACATTACCACATGTATCCTACAAAACAACCAGTAATGTTATATAACATTACCACATGTATCTACACAACACACCAGTAATGTTATATAACATTACCACATTTATCCTACAAAACACACCAGTAATGTTATATAACATCACCACATGTATCCTACACAAATCACCAGGAATGTTATATAACATTCCCACATGTATCCTACAAAACACCCCAGTAATGTTATATAACATTACCACATGTATCCTAAAAAACACACCAGTAATGTTATATAACATTACCACATGTATCCTACACAAATCACCAGGAATGTTATATAACATTACCACATGTATCCTACAAAACACACCAGAAATGTTATATAACATTACCACATGTATCCTACAAAACACACCAGAAATATTATATAACATTACCACATGTATCCTACACAACACACCAGTAATTTTATATAACATTACCACATGTATCCTACACAACACATCAGTAATGTTATATAACATTACTACATGTATCCTACAAAACACACCAGAAATGTTATATAACATTACCACATTTATCCTACACAACACACCAGTAATTTTATATACCATTACCACATGTATCCTACAAAACACACCAGTAACGTTATATAACATTACCACATGTATCTTACAAAACACACCAGAAATATTATATAACATTACCACATGTATCCTACACAACACATCAGTAATGTTATATAACATTACCACATGTATCCTAAAAAAACACACCAGTAATGTTATATAACATTACCACATACAACACACCAGTAATGTTATATAACATTACCACATGTATCCTACAAAACACACCAGTAATGTTATATAACATTACCACATGTATCCTAAAAAACATTGCTGGTGTGTTTTTTAGGATACATGTGGTAATGTTATATAACATTACTGATGTATTTTGTAGGATACATGTGGTAATGTTATATAACATTACTGGTTGTTTTGTAGGATACATGTGGTAATGTTATATAACATTACTGGTGTAGAATACATGTTACACAGTAACAGTTACACAATTATTGATGACTGAAAAAAGATCTGATTATTATTTTTGCATTTTTCTAAAAAGAAGTATTCATTGATACCAATTTGTTAAACGTTTTGATGATGATAAATGACTCAACTCAATCCAAACCTTCTCTTTGTAACTTTCACATAGTGAAGCTTGTCATAGAAAGGATATACATGATATGTTAGGGAATTTGTTTTCATCAAGGATATCCAACAGATTGTTCCTGTTAAGTCAAGAATAATTGAATTCCAGCATCTATCCACTTAAAGTGGGGAGAATTATTTTAATAGATATAATATTCAATAAAGCATTTATTGATAAAAGAAACCACTGTGTTTTTTATATGTCAATTACTGTAATTTATCTTAAGTATTAATTCGTCATCTACCACTACCAGTTGTTGGAATAGATAGATGACGTCTGTCGGTCTCAAATCTTGTGGGAACGATTTCAGAAGAACAAGTTGATAAATAGTATAACCACTGCTTCATTATAGATGCCAATAGTGAAAGGTCAAAGGTCAATAAATTCGTTATAAAACGAATGCATTAAACAATATATTAATACATCATTTTACACAAACGGTTGGATGTATTCTTATTTTGGTCCGATTAGTTCTAGGATAACAGGTACATCAAATTGCAGGTAGCAACAGTAATTTAAATTACTAGGTACTAATCATGTGTAGGTAAATCATAATGTTTATCTGCTAATTCTTTCAGAAATAAAACAAACTGAGCTTAACTAGGGAGCTTACAGCATTGTGTGGCGTCTGTTGTCTGTCCAATTTCCATTATCCGTTAAATTTTCCTTTGAACGACTTCTACTGAAGAATTGACAGGCCTAGAGTCATGATCTTTATGTGATAACTTCATTGGTAAGAGCCCATCTAAGCGTGAGAACAAAAATGACCTTGACGTACTTAAAACAATTTCTTCTGAATAACTGGAAGGTATAGAATCTTAATATATGGTTGGTAGCTTCGTTGGTAAGATCCCAACAAACTTTTATAACGAAAATGACCTTGACCTTCTTTAAAGATCACAGGGTTCAAAAGTGTCAAATACTTCAAACGAATTTTTCTGAAGAACTGAAAGGTATAAAATCTTAATATTTGGCTGGTAGCTTCCAGGAATGGAGTGTGACAAAGGTTGCAAATTAAATTGACCTCAACCTACTTTCAAGGTCAAAGGGGTCACATATGTCAAACATTTCAAGCAATTTCTCCTGAAGAACTGAAAGGTATAGTATCTTGGATGGAGCCCAACCAAGTTTGAGAATGAAAATGACCTTGACGTTCTTTCAAGGTCAAACACTTAAAACGACTTTTCTTAAGAACTGAAAAGGATTTGAATCTTAATATTTGACAGGTAGCTTATATAGGGATTGATCTTGCAAATTAAAATTACCTTGACCACCTTCAAGGTCACAGGGGTCGAATATAGCAAACACTGCAAACAGCTTCTTTTGAAGAAGTGAAAGGCATGGGGTCGAATATATTAACAAGTAGCTTCCTTGGATGGAGCCCTGACAAACTTTGCAAATGAAAATGACCTTTAATTTACCTACTTTATCCTATAGCTTTATCTTAATCTTATTTGATATAGAGTATCCTTGGCCCAAAATGATTCAATTTTGTAGAAACTTTGCCCCTATCCCAATGGGGACAGGATAATGGGACCCAATAAATTAGGGGTATTGCAGAGAGACAGCCAATATTTGGAAATATCTGTAGGTACAGTATGATATTCATTTTATATTTTGCTATGACTGCTTAAATATCCAGGTGAGCAATACAGGCCCTCTGTGCCTCTTGTTTACACAAACCCGATTACCTCGAGATAACTAGGTTCAACTGTATTTTGAGACTGATTGAAAAAAATCAGATGGTCGTAGGCGGTCATCTTAAAACAATCTGATGGTCGTAGGCG